AGTGTTTCATAAAATGTCACTCTTTGGCTGCAGTGTTCTGTATGTACCACTAGGGGGAAGCCTTGACACACTCACACTATTTGTGTTTACCAATTACCCAAGCCCAGTGTGCAAAGGTATTAAAACTAGGAAGTATAGAACACAAACATGTGTGTGTGTGTGTGTGTGTGTGTGTGTAATAAATCAATACAATATGAATAGATACCCTGGGAAAATGAGTCAAAGGGAAGTCACAAATTGGATGATTCAGTTGCAAATATTAATTTGGGGGCAACAACTTTGTTCTGAGTTTCCTGATGGCCACAGCAAAAACAGAAGTATTCACCCATCTCTCCAAGGACAGGCCCAAATTTCATCTGAGGGGCTGCTGCAAAACCTGCCACCCCTTGGTTTATACAACCCTGTTGCCTTTTCCAGACCAGCTTTGCTCTCTGCTTGTGTATAGGACCCAACGTGCTGATCCTTCTTTAAATTTGTCATCTCTGTATTTTGATTTTATTTATGTGCTTATGATTTTATTTATTTTATTTATGTGCTTCGATTTAAATCAAAAGTAATAGGAGGACAGAAAGTGGAGCCAGAGTCTTACCTTCCTCCTGTTCTCCTCCTCCTCCCTCTCTTCCTCTTCCCTCTCCTCCTTCTTTTCTTTTCCTTTTTTTTGTGGTGCTGGGGCCCTGCTCCACCCTGAGCCGCATCTCCCGACCCTACCTTTTCTTGAACGTGTTCTACTCCAGCTTTCCCCCTCACGACACTTGGGACTGATCTCATCGTGGTCTCCAGTGACTTCCATGGTGTTGAATGCCGGAACAATTCTCAGGCTTCATTTTGCTAGAGCCAATCAAGACGCTGGCCCCAGGTGAGCACGGTCTTATTCCTGAAATGCTGCTTCCTTTGGCATCGCAGCACCAGTCTCGTGTTGGTCCCTAACTGCTGCTCCTTCCCTGCCTCCCCTCCAAGCGGGCTCGGGCCTGGGCCTTCTCCTCTCCATCTGTCCATGCCCTCAGCCCAGTGTCAGGACGCAGAGCAGCAGACCTACCTTGATGATCACCTTTACACCTGTGGCCTACATCTCCATTTAGATGTCAATAGTCCAGGCCAAGCTCCCATCACTCCTGCCTGACTTCACTCCTGTTCCCCATCTCAGTAAATCAAAATATTGACACAGACAAACTTAGCATCATTCGGGTCTCGTCTCTGCCTCCAGCCTTTACATCCAAGTGCACAGGAAACCCTTGGGCTCTGCCTTCAGAGTATCCCTAGAATCCCACCTCTCCTCCCCCCCTCTGTTCTCCCCAGCCACCCCTCACCCGTCTGCTCCCACCCTGTCTACCTCACTGCACTGTCCTATGGGTGGTGACTTCATCTGTTTTGTCAGTTGCTGTATCCCTCTGGCTTAGACTGGTGTTTAGCACACAACAAGCCATCAGCGAATATCCGATTAAATTATCTAATGCCGCAGGGGCTTCTATGCACAAGAGATACACAAAGGATTAATTTCCAGAAATGATTCCCAACTATGAAAATAATAAGAGCAAACACTTTCTGAACACACACCACATGCCAGGAAGTTGCTGGATGAGGTGATTATAGCTCAGAAAAGCAGGAAGTTGTCCAAGATTAAACATCTAATGGTTGGTGGAATAGATATTTGGATCATATCCATTTATTCAATTCATCAACTATTTGTTAAGCACCATTTATATGCCAGATATTGTTTTGGGAGAACAAAACAGGCAGAGTTCTAAGTCTGATAGAGCTTGCATCCTAGTTGAGAGACACAAGGAATGGAGTGTGAGTGTGTGTGTGTGTGTGTGTGTGTGCGCGCGCGCGAGCACGCGCACACTCTTGCACGCGCATTATGTATCTAATGTGTAAAAAGAGACCAAGTTAAGGAAATGAGGAGTGAAGAGGGATGCTCTGACAGAGGCTGATCAGGAAAGATGTCTTGGAAGCCGTGGCATGAAAAGGGTGACTCGTGCCAGTGTATATATGAAAAGCAAAAACCCCAAAGATAAACAATCTTGGACATGTTCGAGGAGTGTCGAGGGCAAACCTGTGGCACGTGTGCTGCAGCGGGCTGTTAAAGCTCTAAAAGGTTCGCCATCACTGAACTAGGGTGTTGTCCAATCAGGTTTCCCTCAGGCATATTAATTGGTGGGTCTTAGTTGATGGTTTAGTTTAGTTGTATTTTTCTGTTCTGTTTTTTTCTCTTTTCTTTTTGGGGATTGAACCCAAGGCTTTCGTACTGAGTTACATCCCCAGACCTTTTCTATTTTTTATTTTGAGAGTTCTGTCTAAATCATTACATTGCCCAGACTGACCCTGAACTTGTGATCTTCCTGTCTCAGCCTCCCAGAGTCCTAGGATTACAGGCATGTGCCAGCACACCCAGCAACTGGTAGGTTGAAAGCAAGCAGGCACAAGTTGCTGTGGTCACGCTGCAGCTGAGAGGTGGTACTATGACATCTCCTCAGTCTGGTGGGCCCTTGGGGGGCTACTCAGGCAGGCTGTGTCCAGCTGCCACATAGGGAAGCGATCACCTGGAAGGAAGCAGTTGTGTAAGGTGCAAATCTGCATCAGTCTCCTGGAGGAATTGGTCAGGGGGGACAACAAAACTGGAAACTATCAAGGATGACCAAACCCTGCTTCTGGTGTGAGAAAGTTCAGCTTATATTTAAAACAAGTGCTGATGCATAATAAAATTGTAAGAATTCACAGAACATCAATGTCAAGTCTGACCTGAATTTCTAGCCTGCCAGCCTGACCTGCACGTTTCGGACCTGCCGGCCCTGACAATGATATGGTCCAATTTCTTAAAATAAACCCCAGATAGGAGACTGACAGGTAGGGAGATGGATGGACAGGAGTGTGATCAAAATTTGCGAAAAACACTAATTTTTAAATACATGACAGCAAAAACATATTGCCATTAATTCTCCCCCCAAAAATCCCCCACCCTTTCAAGCAGACTTACCCCATCTTTCTTGCCACTTTCCAAAGAAGTCTTCTTTCATAAGTGCCTTTACGAGGTATGATCAAAAATACACTGAACGCTGCTGCTTGGGGCCATCCGACGGAAAGGCGGGCTCGCAGGAGCGTCACAGTGTCCCCTCACCCACCTTGTTCGTGGGCTCTGGCACCGTGTGGCTTCTGGCTCATCCCCAATGTCAAAGTGACCGTGAAAGGCAAGCACTTTGAACCAACTCAGAACATCGAGCAGTGTGACAGAGCAGCTAAAGACATTCAGGAAAGAGGACTTCCAGTTGCTTCAACAAGGGCAAAGAGCAATGCAGTACGTCTGTTTTAAGCACGGAGGAGGAGGGTTTTGAGGGAGGTTCATGGTAATTTGTCTTTTACTGCAATAAGCTTAAAAATTCAAATATTGACTGTATTGTTTGATCAAACCATGTAGATAAATAAGCAGGTCCCATGGAGTCTGTTTCTCAGGAGAACTCTGACTATTACAAGATGTCTCAATAATGTGTAGACTGAGGGCGATGGTGGGACCTTGGGGGAGAGGATGAAACATGACAGAGGTCAGTGGAGACAGGGCACAGGAAGAGCAGGAAAAGCCAACGGAGAAGCTCGGGAGACAGAGCCGGTGAGAGGGACATTCAGCCTGGAAAGTGTGCGTCCCTGAAAACAAATGGAGGCAGAAAGACGGAGTGGTCAGCGCTGGTGGGCGAAGGCGTCACAGGCTCCCTGTGGCAGTGAGCGAGCGGCGGGAGCCCAGTGTGGGGACGAGGAGTGACTCAAAGACACGGGGACAACCTGTCACACCCCCGGGCCCCGTGAGACTTTCACAGGCCAGCGTGACCATCACTTCCCACGGCCATGAAGAGGGAAGCGCCCGGGGACAGGCGTCATCCTGCGTGGGCTGGCGGGAGTGGCAGCGAGGCCGCAGTCTGTGGCTGGGGTGTCGTTGATGGATGTGGGGTCATTCATGAAGAGATTAGGAGATGGGTTTGAACAAGGAACCTGAGTCCTGTCAAGCAGATGAGGAAGTTGTACCTTGTTCCCAGGGGAGGGCTCACGAGAGGCCCTGGAGGGAGGGACCCGAGGGTGAAGAAGGGAGGGGAGCCACGCCTACTGGGCTCTCCACACCCACAAGCCTGTGCCTTGTCTCTCCCTGTAGGGGGGGAACCCCAGCACCCCTTGAAGCTGGTAGAAGGAGCACAGGTTTGGGCCCAAGGGGCCTGGTCCAACCTCCAGTGCTGGAGACTGGTCACCTTGTTTCAAATGAGAAACTGAGCTCCCAGAGGTTGTAGCACCTGCCCAGGTCACAGTCATCGGCCATCCTCTGTGCTGGACAGGATGGCATCAAGGTCAGCCTGAGCGGACCAGAGGTCAAAACCCTGAAGCTACAGTCCCGGAGCTGGGCTTTGTGTGGGAGGCTCCCTGGGGAAGGCAGGAGGGAACCTGCAGGTCTCCCTGGCCGAGGCGCTGCAGCCAAGGACACGAGCGGTCTGGGGACAGGGAGAGGCGTGCGCTCCCTGGGAAAAGAGGAACATTTGTCCTTTCCTTACAACAGCCACTGTAAGGTTGTTCATTACGTTTTTCACTTTACTGGTGAAGAAACCGATCAGAGAAGCTAAGTAATGTGTCTAAGGTCGCAGAGCTCGTGAGTGCCGGAGTCTGTGTTAGAACACAGCACTTCCCGCTTCCAAGGCCTGTTGCTTTTTCTGAGAAAAGGTGAGAATTTTCTAAATAGAAACCCTGCTCATCCTGCCTACTCCCACAATAACAACAGACAGGGTACCTTATTGAGGCTCAGGGCGGCATCTGCAAAATGGGGACAACTGGTACACCGGTCCTGTAGGGCTAACTGGGATTTCACCCACACTACAGCAAAGTGCCCAGCACATCACATTCAAGAAACAAAAGCAACTGTTATCAGGTGATTATTCTCATTTTACAGGTGAGAAAGCCTGAAAGAGTCCGCTAGTACCTTCATACTCTAGAGAGCAAGGGCTGAAGTCTGGATGCAAAGCAAGACACAGTAAATTCCAAAGTTCACTGGAGCTTTTTTTTTTCCTCTTCAATCCAAGACAAAAAAGAGACAGATGTACATTTCAGGCACTGAGGAAAACAGGAGAAGACATCAGACGCTTAGGTAGGGCTGGTGTGATGGAACTCGGTGACTTCAGTCTTGGCCACCAAGTTAGAGCGGCAGGATGCACCGTGGGGGCCTCCACTCAGCGTCATGCATGGGGTGCCCACCAGAAGCCAGAGTGTGCCTGGCCCAGCTGCCTGGTCTGGCCATGATGACATCACCTGTAGAGACTTTGCCCTGTCTCTCTGACCCACCCTTCATCCTCTGCAGCCTATTATGCAGGGCCTCAGGGGCAGCTGTGAGGTTAACGGACCTGCTGCAGATGCTGCCCAGCAGGTGGCGGGAGCTCCAGCAGGGCACAGCTGCATCAGCCCTACGGCAGCCCTGCGCCTGGAGCGCTGTGTGCATGGGGGGACAAGAGAGCAAACAAAGGCTCGTTCCAGTTGGAGGCGACTTGTCTAAGATCACACACTCACAGCAGGACCGGGACCCTCTTTCTTCCACACTGACTGAGGTTACTGGCTCTTGGAAGACACGGACAGGGGACATGGGTCACACACAGTGGAGGGTGGACAGGCCCAGGTGGGAGATGACAGGCAGAGGCCTGGTAGAGGCATGGCTGGGAGGACAGCCCCCCACAGGTCTAGGGGTGCAAGTAGAGATGGTAGTCGCAAGGAGGTAGCCTTGGGGAGCCCTGACACCAGTCCTGTACCCTCACCCCTCTGTACTTGTGCATCCTCAGAAAGAATTTAGGGCTGACCTGGGCCAGTGACACCTGGCTGGAGACCCTGCTCTGCCACTAATGAGATCTGTGACCCAGAAAGGTCACTTTACTTCATGGGCCTCCCTTTCCCTGTCTGTAAAATGGTCTCCCTTTCCACACCCCAGGGCATGAAAGGGTAAAGAGAAGTGGTGACCAAGGCCTCCACAGAGAGCCCCGCACTGGGCAGGAACTTCTCATGTCCTCTGTGCTCCGGGCTTTGTGTCCCCATCAGCCCGGGCCCCTTCCTGGGAACCAGCTCTGGGCTTGTCAGAGAGCCAAGCTTCTGTCAACCCCACCCGAGCTGGCCAGTTAATGAGTGACCAGACCTCTGAAGCCTGGTCTATAAGGAGCTGCCAGCTGGGAAGCAGGTGGGAGCCAGGTGGACAGCGGCAGCAGGGACACAGAGGGGGCAAGATGGGCAGCAGGCCCCTGTTGGGATGCCTGTCAGGGTTGGCTGTGGTCCTGCTGCTGCTGCTGCTGCTGCTGCTGCCGCCGGGTACACAGTCAGTCTACATCAAGGTGAGTTCCTCAGCCTCGGCCTGACACCCAGCCACAGTCCAGGGTCCAGACAGCTGGTGCGCCGGAGCAGGCGGAATGTTGATAGTGACCATGATGGTGACTGCGAGAGAGATAAGAGCACACAGCTGTTTACTAGCACTGCTTTCCTCCAAGGCTGGTGCTGGTCCCAGGGCTCAGAACGTGGAGCATGACATGGGATGGAAGAGGAGCCCAAGGAAGGAGATCCCCGCCTTTTATGCTTCCGTATCCGAGTTATCCATACCTGGGGGGAGGAGTGGCCACGAGACAGTCTTCCTGGCAGGTAACTCTTGAGGACAGTGCAGGACAAGCCCAGGCGCCAGGACCAGGGGGCCTGCTGCAGGCAGAGATGTGGCATATTCAAAGGCCCAGAGAGCAGGTGGCAGGGCTGCAGGGTCCTTCCCGGGGCCGTGAGGTGGAAGCTATGCAGGCAGGGCTGGCTGCTGTGCGGTGGGGTGCGGCTGGCCTCTGCCGAATGTGCGGAGCTCTGGCATCTCATGCCTGATCAGGGAAAGGTCTTCCCAGAAGAATGAAGAGGTCCTGGGAGGGGGCTGAGAGAGCCAGCCCAGCCAGCCTAGGGTCGCAGTCATGTCACTGAGCCAGCTCCAGATGAGCACCTGGACGCCCTACAGGGGAGATCAGATGGTGGAGGACCTACGGCTCAGAGGGGAGGATCAGCGGCCAGTCAGGGCAGAGGTGGGATTTGAACCACAGTCTGCACATCTCTAACACCCAGGTCTTGTTTCACAGGGTCGCACAGCTTGCATGGACTCCTCCCCGGCTCCCAACAGCCTGGGGCAGGGTGTGTGCAAAGGGCCAGGAGATCAGACCCTGCTGGTCTGCCCCGGCTGCTCTTTCCAGCATGGCCGGGACTTTCCATGAGCACAGTGGAGGGTCCAGAGGATCTGTAGGGTTCGAGGACCCCAGGTCCCATGGCCGCCCTGCCCCTGTCCCGAGATTGAGCCCTTCTACCCTCCCTCCCACAGTACCGAGGCTACCAGGTCCAGCTGGAATCAGTGAAGAAGCTGAAGGCCCTGGAGGGACAGTGGATGCCCAGCCCCCGCCTGCAGGCCCAGAACCCCCAGCCCTCCGTGTGCAACCACCCAGCCCTGCCCCTGGACCTCCAGCCTGTGTGTGCCTCCCAGGACGCTGCCAGCATCCTGCCGTCCTTGAGTAAGTGCCCCAGCCCCAGCCCAAAGGTCGTTCTGCCTCTCCTGTCCCACCCCACTCAAGCTCCTTGCCGCCTGCTGCAGGAAGGAAGGATCCAGAATCCCAACCCGTGCCCTCCCCAGGAATGCCCTGGTTTGGACACAGAAAGTCAGGCCTGCAGAAAGCTCCCTTAACCAACCCCCCCGGGAGTCCCTCCCAGATTCCATAGACAGGAGGGCAGGAAGCCCAGAGAGCAGCCCTCCCGCCACTGCCAGTGAGTGTGCGAGCCCAGAGATGCTCACAGCTGGCGTCCGAGGGAATGAGCTGAAAGGCTTCCAAGGGGCGGAGACAGCTAGGCTGAAATCAGAGGGTATGGCAGAGCTGAACAGCGGAACACCCTCTGACCCTCCTCTGTGCTGGGCCCTTTGCCTGCATTCCCTCCTCGGGTCCTGGTCAGGATGATCTGCCCCTATAGCAGACAAGAGTCTGAACTCGGGCCCAGAGCAGAAGTACCTCGTCCAGGCACAGTGGGACTGGATCCAGTGCCCCTCGCTGTGCAGCCAAAGCTCCCTGCTGGGAGGATGGGCCAGGACTTGTCCTAGTTGGCCGCTTCCTGCAGCCTGACCAGTAGCTCCCATGCAACCACGGGCCTCCCAGGTTCAGCTTCAGGTTTGGCTGACTGACCTTCTCTCTACCCAGGGGCCATGGACAATGAGGAGTGCGAGCTGTGTGTGAACATCGCCTGTACCGGCTGCTGAGATGGTCGTGGCCCCCCAGCCCACTGCCCCTGCAGCCCTCCACTCCTACCCGTGCTCAGCGGAGAAGCCAGGCCACAGGGCCATCGCCACCTTCCCAGGGCCCTAGCGCTGGATCCAAGCAGAGTTCAGCCCACTGCTTCTGAATAAAGATTCTGCCCACACAGGGCCAAGTGTCTGTCTGTCCATCCTGAGGAGCGATGGGTGGAGGCACTGGGAAGCTGGAGGGGCAGACGGGAGAGGCTGGGCAGAAGATAACAGGCAGGAATTCCCCTGAGGTTCAAGTGCTGAGGCGCTGACTCATGAAACCCTGTTTCCACAGATAAGGGAGCCCAAGCTCACAGAGCAACCCAGACTCGGGGACACTCAGGCTGGACCCAAAGCCCCCTAGCTTTGCAGCCAGAGCTCCTATGCTCCTGATGGGAGAGGGAGAGGTGCGAAAAGGTGTAAGGGAAGGAAGACCAGGCCCCTGCAGGCTGTTAGGGACAGACTCTGTCCCCACCCTTTGCCTTTGTCCTCTCTCCCCGAGCTCCAGCTGGGAGACCTCCTCTCCCCCTCCCAGCCTTGTGGCGCTGGGGGAGATGAACAACAGCCAAGATTTACTCAGCACGTGCTCGACGGCAGGCACTGTTCTAAACACTTGGCACACGTAATTCCCAGTCCTCAGGACAGTCCGATGGAGCCGATATGATGCTTATTCCCTCTCCTTTCAAATAAGGAGTCAAGGAAGTGAGGGCCATCTGGCCGCGACTTCTGTCACCTGTTGATTGTGTCACGCCAGGGTTGACTGGGCCTATCTGGCTGGCTAGGCGGTATCCCCTTCCTCCCTCAGCGCGCCGTGTGCATCCCTCCTGAAGCTGCGCCCTTGGTCAAGGAGGACAAGCACCCCCGCCCCAGAGGAGGACCGGTCCTCCATCAAGGGTACACAAGTAGCTGCGCTCCCTGCTCGGACAAGCTCTCAAATAAGGCATCAATGCACAGAAAGAAATCCCCAGCCTGGGGTCACACACCTGCAAAGTGGCCAGGCAGGCTCTTCCCGACACATCCTGGCCAGGGTCCATAACCTGACTCCCTTGTTCCTTTCTTTCTGCCCCGTCTGCCCACAGCTGATGGCACCGAAGGCCAGGGGCAGCTGTCGCACCCTCACAGCAGCCTCCATGGCTTGAGCTCAAGCCAGGAGCTGTGTGAGCAACTCAGGGAGCAGGGCCTTTCCCCAGAGTGGGCCCCTCCTCAGCCCTGTCCTGAGAGCCGGGGAGGAGGAAAGCTGCTGCAAAGGGCCTGGCTTCCCCCCAGAGTCTCCAAGACGGCCGAGAATCCTGACTGCTGCCCGACCCGACTGCCAGCCCTGCTGCCTCCCAGAGCTCCAGCTTCTTCCTCTCCTTCCCCTGTGGCCAGGGCCCTGTGCAAGGGCTGCTGCCGCTCTCCAGGCCTCTACTTCCACCGCTGCCATCACTCAGGCCAGCCAGAGCTTCTCCATGGTCTTGCCTCCTATAGGCACTGTACCCAGAGGAACAGGAGGCACTGCCCTGACCCTGCTGTGGCTCCCCAGGCCACCCCTCAAGTTTAGCCTGTGCCCAGGCATCATCTGGACTCATCACTGCCCGTGAGATCCTCTGTGTTCCCACCTTCCTAGTGGAGACAACCCAGGGACCTGGCCAGTGGAGCTCCTCTGCCTCCCCGCTCCTTTTCCTTCATAAATCAAATTTACTTAATTTGGGTTTGGGGGGGTTGATTTTTTGGTTAGTTTATTGTTAACATAGAAATGGTACTGATTTGTTTTGTTTTGTTTTATCTTTTTGAGACAGGGTCTCACTATGCAGTTCAGGCTGGACTTGAGCTCACTTTGTAGCCCAGGCTGGTCTCGAACTCACAACTATCCTCCTGCCTCAGCCTTCCAAGTACTGGGATTACAGGCGTGCACCACCACATCCCGCCTGCTACTGATTTTTGTATGTTAATTTTTGTATCCTGCAACTTTACTGAATTCATCTGTTCTACCCTAAATTGTTTGGAATTCTTGAGGGCTTCTGTATGTAAGATCATGTCACCTGTGAAAAGAAGCAATTCATTTCTTCTCTTTTGAATTGGCTGCCTTTTAAAATTTACTTTCTTGTCTAATTACTCTGGCTAAGACTTCCAGAAATATGTTGAACAGAAATAGCAAGACATAATCTAAAGAAGAAGTTTTTGATGCTTTTGAGACTTTTCTTTTTTCTTAGTCTAAAGCTTTGTCACTTTTATCTGAAACCACACTGTTTTATTGCTCTTCCCTATTGTTTCCTAGACTCTGTTTCATTAATTTCTGCTCTCATCTTTATTATTTTCTTCCTTTAACTAACTCTGGGCTTTGTGTATTCATTTCCTAGTTCCTTGAGGTTTAATGTTAGGTTGTTTATTTGAAATCTTTCTTCTTTTCCTCTGTAGGCATTTATTGCTACAAACTTACCTCTTCGAACTGCTTTTGCTGCACCCCATTAAGTCTTGGGAGGCTACTTTCATTTTCATATGTCTAAAGATATCTTTCAATTTTCCTATAATTTCTTTGACTCACTGGCGAAGCTTTCAGAACTTTCCCGGCATCACCTCATTTAACCTTCCCCGCAGTGCACACAGTGGGCATTCTCATCACCCTCACTTGGCTGAACAGGAAACTAAGGAATTCCCCGCCGAGTCGCACAGCGGCAGCAGGCAGGGCCAGGAGCCACTGCCAGCACTGGCTCCAGAGTTCAAGCACTGGAGCGTTCTACCTGCCACTTGGCCCATCAACTCCCGCAGCAGACTGGGGAGGCGGGGTCTGTCGTCACCCCGTTTCCAGATGGCAAAACCAAGACTCAAAGAGGGACGCCTGGCTTGTGAATGGCATGTCAGCTTCAATCCATTCCTTTTTGCCTTCAGGCTCCACCCTGCCCACACTGAACTATCCTAGTTTCACCATGCATGGTCCCACCCTCCTGGAATTCCGGAAGTTTCCCTTCCTACCTCCATATTGATTTGGAAATCCAAAGCAAATCTCAGGAGCTAATGAAAACATGGTCCTTCTCCTCCTTCACAAACCCTTCCTGGTCTCAGCCAGAAGGGAATCTCCCTCTGAATCAATCCCAGAGCCCCTGGGAATCCTGCCTGGACCCCTTATAGGGTTTCTTCTGCATGGTGCTCTCCAAGGGCTTGGTTGTCTTCTCTTCCTTTTCCCCCTGGACCTTTACTAACTGGCCTTACTTCCACACCCCCTTCCCCATGCCTCTCTGAGTCATTCTCAACCTAACCCTAGTTTTTGGTTTGCTTTTATCACTGATTATGTTCCTGTTATGTTTCTCTCTGGTCTGAATTGGAGGCTTTAAATGTATTATCTCGCCCAGCCTGGAGACAGGCACTGTCAGTATCGAGTTTTACACAGAAGGAGGCTGAGGCACAGAGGGGGAAACTGATTTTTCTAGCATCACACAGCATGTGGACGACCTAGGGCAAGCGCCCAGGCCAGTGACCATGCAGTTCCGGCTTTCTCTTGCCCTCTCAACAGCCTCATCCAAGCACGGTGCAGGTTGACCTTGTGTCTGGGGTAGGCAGCTTTCCTCAGGCACAGAAGCCGTTACACAGCCCACCTGTACAAGGGGTGTGGGTGATCAACGTGCAGTGTTAGCACCCAGGGCCAGGCTGGAACACCAAGATGTTTTCCTGTTGAGGGCATTAGGAATGGTGTCTTGAGGAAAGGCCATGGAGCCTGAGTAGTTTATCCAGCCAGGAGCCTGGGCAGAGGGTCACAGAGTGGCGGGAGGGGATCAGAGGTACATCCCGGCTGGAATCACGGGGGAGGGCAGGAGGCAACTTGTGTGGTCAGAGGGAGTCAGACCCTGCGGTGGGAGTGCAGGGAGAATACCAAGACTTGGACAGTGACATGGTAGAGATCCAGTTCAGACAGGCTCCTGTGCACACTCTGGTGACCGTGGATGTGAAGCAAAAGTGGAGGTTCCACCCTGTCCAGGTGTGGCCTAGAGGTTCAGGCCCGCTCTGTACCAGTATGTGGTGTCAGCCCCGAGGGTGGGACATGGGTAGCTCGGTAGGAAGCATGCGCACTAACCCCCAGTTGTCCAGGCCAGGACTGGCAGCCGTGAAGCTGGCCAGTGGCCAGAGCGATGGCTGAAGGAAGGAACGCAAGCAACACCAGCGGTACTCGGAATCCGGTTTATTAGCTGAGGGTTGGCATGCACCTTGCAAAGCTCGGTCTCAGGCCTGGAAGCCCTCATCCCGCAGCCCCTCTCTGAGCTCCCTTGGGGCAGCGTAGGTTGAGCTGCTAGGAGTGGGAGGATCACGCGTTGCCCTTCCAGCAGAAGAAAGGGCTTCCCTGGGAGGAAGACAGCGGCTAGGCCGCCCTAGCATCCGGCGCAGGCGGCGTAGGCACAGATCTCACAAGTGCTCGGGTCCTGAGCGATGGCCTCTGGACGGGAGAGAGTCCCTGGTGACGCCAGCTTCCCCTTCCCTGAAGCCCCCTGCTCCCCTGAAGCCAGAGCTCGGGCATCCTCTACCCCACCCCCCAAGAACTGTCCTCTCTGACATGCTGGCCTTTTCTCTAAGCAAGGGTCTATGGACCACTCAAGCCAGCCACTCAGAGGGAAGCTCTGTCCAGAAAGGAGGTACAGCTAAGACCAGATGATGGCATGCAGAGCCACCTACCAACCATCCCCAAACACTTAGAACTCATGTAAATTGTTCTCTACATACACACCAATCAGAACTGAGCCTCTCCAAACTCCACCAATTAGAGCGCATCTCTTCCCAAGAGCTGCCAATCAGAGGATGTCCTGGCCCACTCACCAAGCCGGTGCAGGATGTCCTCTGCGTTGGGCTGGCTGCAGACAGGCCGGAGCTCCTCTGGAAATCCTGGGTGACTGCAGAGCGGTGGAGTCACAAACTTTCTGCGGCCCTGGACCTTGGGCTCTGGGACCTCCTGGAGGTCTTTGAGCTTCTTCACTGACTCCAGAGGAAAGGAGAAATCTCCATCCTGAGGGAAACAGCTAAGTATGAGGCCTGGCTCGTCCCAGCACGGCAGGCCCGGGGAGGGGACAGCCCCTGGGGATGGTGTGGGGTCCACAGCTGCCGCCTGCCCTCCTGGCTTTGCTGTGTGACACTGAGCGCATCCCTCGGGCACGCTGGAGGCCTCAGGTTCTGCATGCTGTCATAGCCGGAATGGAGAAAATGCATGTGGAGCTCCAGAGGCAGAGAGGCCGGGACCAGAACACCTCCTGCCGTGTGGCTGGCCCGGCCTTTTCCCCCTCCTAAGAGCACTGTGGCTGACTCTCTGCCTGCAGCATTTGCCTGGTTTCTGTTTGAGAAACAATAAAACCTGCAGGGCAGGCACGGTGGTGCAGGCCTGTAATCCCGGCACTCAGGAGGCTGAGGCAGACCATCCTGAGTTTGAGGCCAGCCTGGGCTACATACTGAGAACCTGTCCTTAAAAAACAACAAATAGCTTCCATGAGCCTCTCCTGGAGAGCGGAAGCCCTGCTGGGAGCCAGTCGGGCCTGTGGATGGTGTTGCCCAGTAGGCACAGGCGTTCCTCGGGACCTCCAGGATGTCCACGCGGTTCCGCCGCCCTGGACAGCGTGTGCGGCTGACCCTGGGACTGAGGAAGAGGGCCCCGGTTTGACTCCAGCTCCTTCACTTCCCAGCAGGGAGTCCCTGGCCCTTACAGAGCCTCTCTGAAGCTCAGTTTCCCTCTGTAAAGTGGGGCTGAGAACTCCCCCTTCCCAGGGGTCACAGGAAGGTGCTGGGGAGAAACTCTTCCTGGCAGGTGCGCCATCTCTCACCTCTCTCCTAGCTCGCTGGGTTCTTTCTCCTCCAGGGTTGAAGGGGAAAGAAAGTACGTGCCTGGCAGGACAGGATTTCCAGAGGAAGTGTGCCTCCATTCTGGCCCCAGAGACATGGTCTCTCAGGGGACAAGCCCCGGCACCCCTGGACTGGGTGGGGGAGGGGGCTTACCCGTACAGTGACCGCCCCAGCCAGAGCAGCCCAGGCACCAAGGCACAGTGCAGAGAGCAGGAAGGTGTTCATGGCATCAGAAGCCGGGAGACCAGACACTGGTTCTGGTGTCAGGAAAGAGCAGACCTTTTAAGGAGGTCAGAGTTACTGAATAACCTCCAGCCCTTGTCAGCGTCCCATCTGGTGCCTGTCAGACCACATCAGATAAGGGTCAGGGCAGCCCTGTGAGATAAGCAATCAGCCGCAGGCGGGCAGAGCCCAGGCCCCTCCCTGGGCACCCCTTTGACCCACAGTGGGGCTGGGTCTTGTGTTCCCTCTGGGTCACAGCCCCTGGGAAACCAGCACTGCCCATGAAGAGAGAGGTCCGGACCCAGACAGTGACTATGCCAGAGGGCAGTTAGGGTGAGGACCACAGAGCTGTGGGGCATGTGGAGCGTGGCGGGGCCACGTCACAGCAGGGATGGCCAGCTCAGGACGGCCTCCCCAAGGAGGCTGTGCCGCACTGACACCCAGACAATGAGGAGGGGCAGGATGGAAGGCCGTTCTGTGCAGAGGGTGCTGCATTTGGGACAGCCGGAGATGCGGGATGGGCCGGGGCTAGTCAGAGAAATGTAAGTCAGCCGGGGAAGGAGGAGGTTGGGACACAGGACTTCGAATGACTGTTGAGGCTGCAGGCCAAGGCTGTTCCTGGGCTGGGCAGCTATGATTTTAGGGAGGCACTCAGCTCTGTGCCCCCAGCCTGCTTTTGGCTTCCATCCACTGCCCCATTTTGACCAGTGTGTGATGTGGACAGGAGTCTTTCGCTCGCTGAGACTCGGTAAGACCCCTGTGTTCCCTGGGTGGAACCAATACTAATAGCTACCTGGTATTAGTGTTAAATGGGGCTTTAAGAGTGAGACCCAGTGCCTGACACACAGGAAGTGTTCGGCGAAAGGGCCATTCAGGTATGTTCTTGGCAACATGAGCTCCCGGTCTCCACCAGCCTCCTGGTGTCTGAGCCACAACCCCTCCTTACCCGGTGCTGGCCTCTCCATCCAGCCAGTCCTGCCCCCAGGGTCCTCCGATGGGATCTCACACCCCTCTGCGTAGGACTCTGTGCCCCCGCTTCAGTCCCGCTGAGACTGGCTGTGCCCCGCAGCATATGCCATTGCATAACCCATGATGAGTGAGCCCAGGAGGAAGGGCGGCTCTGGCCGCTCCATCTCTCTGCTCCACTAACCCACTGTGGGGCTGACTGCCTGGCCAGCTGGGCAGTGGGGCAGGAATGCCTGTGTGCCAGAGTCAATACTGAAGAAGGGACTGAATAGAGTAAAGCTTGGCAGGGTGGGAGGGGAGCTACAGAGGCAGGCAGGGCACTCCTGCCCTGGCTGGTGTGTGTGCGGACACCCAGGTGCATGCATATCCACTGAAGTGTGTGGTTGTGCACTTTTGTATATATGCTGAGGCGTGTCTGCGTATGTGTGCTGAGGTGTGTGTCCAGGGACCCAGGGATGGAGCTGGGATGGGGGCTGGGACACTCAGGATTCGGTGGCGGTGGCACTGGGATTGCACAGGGCTGGGTGGGCTGGGCAGGGTGGACATGAATGTGAAGGTCAGCGTAGGTGGGGGTCTGGACTGTAGTCAAGCTCGAGACTGACGCAGCCATTAGGGCAGGAGTGCAAGTTCGGGTTTGAATTGGGGTTTGGACTACAGTCAGAGCGTGAGAGGAACGGAGGCTGGGGAGAGGCTGCCAGGGGCAGGTTTGGAACTGAGAAACAGCTGGGACTGGCCCGAGGCGGGGACGATAGTGGACATGGAAGTAAGTTTGGGGTTAGGTCAACACTCCCTGTAGGGTTGAGACGAGCTGAGTATGCAGCTGAAGTTAGAGGTGTGGCGGGGTTGGGTTTATGGTCGGGGTTGGGTCTGGGAAGACGCGTGAAGTTAACTCGGCACGGGGACCTGATTCGGCTTTCGGGTCAGGGCTCAGCTGGGGTGTTGGGGGCTGGAGGAGCCCTTTTCTCTGACCCGCTGTAGCTCTTCAGTCTTTCCCCTCCTAAGGGGTGGCAGCGTTGGGGGGTTTTGATTCCTGATGTTTCTTCCTCCCACAGCCTCCTGCCGGGGCCTGCCTGGTGTAAGGCAGGGGTGGAGAGGGTGGGACCGTGGGAGTGACGGCACTCCGCCCCGCGGGAACGAGGAAGTGGCTCCCAAGCCTTGGCCCTTTGGGACGTACCCTACCCAGCCCCATTCTGACGTCTGCCCTGGGAAATGGGAACCAATCCTTCTTCCTCAGCCCCAGCTTCTCTGCCCAGCCTGGTCCTACCTGAGTTCAAATGCTCTCTTCCTCTACAGAGGTCATTACCTCAAAAACCTGTATAGAAACTGCTGGACCTCGGGGGCCTCTCAGAACCACAAGCTTCCCAGGCCCCAGGCCCACACTCCGAATTCTGAGGCTTGGTCCCCAGAACCTCACACTCTACATCTTTCCTGCATGAGTGCGAGGGTAGATCTGGACTTGTGAGGTTCCCCCCACCAAAGCCCACCTCTTCTGGCAAATTCTTGCACCTCTCTGGCTCTCCAGGCCGTGCAGTCTCTACTACTTACCTCCCCGCTAAACCCACCAGGAGCCGCCCCAAACTCCAGAGGAAAAGCATGCTGCCTTGCTTGGCATTCAGGGTCATCCTGATCAGGTTGATCATTCAACCAGGATCCCAAAGGATTCTCCAGAAGGTGACCAGGAAGTAGGGACCAAACCTGGAGGCCACAGCCGAGGCTGGACTAGAATCCAACACCATCATTTAAAAGCTGTCAGGCCTTACTGAGTCTCAATTTTTGCATCTGGTAATTGGAGATGAAGCCAGTTCTAATGCAAATTTTAGATTTCCTAGAACTTTCCAACCAACCCTGGGAGCCTGGAGACTCTAATGCTGATCTGTGTGACCTTGGAAAGGGTGTGGCTCACATTTCATAGCCTCACCTTTTAAAACTTGTAAATTTTAGAGGTGTAAACAACCTCTAGTTCCTACCGGAACCTAGAGCTGCTTGAGGTAGACATTATAAGGATGTGAAGCTCCTAACAGCTCTGGGAATACCTAAGAAATTACTATATAACCCCACTTTATAGATGGGTAAGCGGAACCTCAGTGGTAAAGAGAGAAACCACTGCTTTCCTCAGAGCGCACGCATGGCTGCTGGATACAACTAGGTGTACTGGCTGTGCACTATGCAAAGGGACCTGGCCAAAGTATAAGTACAGGCACAGCATGGGGCTACCTGAAGGGAAAGTGCACCTTTCCAGGGTCATTGCCAAGTGGACTTGATGGCGGCTGCAGTCACACAGCTATAAATTCTAGAACAGAACCCTCTGCCTCAAATGCCAAAGGAAAATCTAAACTTTTGTTCAGTCCAATACAACACCTTGTGTCCTGTCTTCCTGGAGCCAAACTCCCATCCCTTCTCCTTCCAGGGAAGGTAAAGAAGAAAGGACCCCATCCGTTTGACAGAGGAGGAAGCGGAGGCTCTCCGAGAGTGCTCCCTGCCACACAGAAAGCGGATGTAGGGCAGGATTTGAAGCCCGCTGGCCGAGCCAAGCCCAGCTTCCGGGGGCTCCCTCTCCTTCCCACTCAGCCCCTGCTGGGCGGCTCTTCCCCTTGATGCCCCGGGGGCAGCTGGGGAGTGGACAGGGGTGTGACTGGTTGTTTGCTCAGCAGTGTCATACCCTCGGGGCCTACACGGTATGGAGCCATGGGGCGCTCTATTCGCCATCTGTTCCCACTCACACTACGGACAGCCGCCACCTCCTGTCCCACTTCTGAGGTATCAGCCACGAGGCCACCTCCCACACTGGAGGGCGACAGAAGGAAAGAGCGGGAGTGCCCACCACGTGCCCCACAGGGGCCCCTCCCGGAGCCCACAGACGATGAGAGGGAGGCTAGGACGAAGCAGGTGCCATGCGGCTCTGTGGGGAACACGCCGGAGGCCATAAGAGGACAAGCCTGGGGCTACAAGTCCCTGGGGCCAGGTGAGAGAATGCTTGCCAGCCCGGGAAGGGTTTGAGCAGGTCCTGGTCAGTGCAAGACCTGGCCCCGGGAGGCACAGAGGGCAGAGGCTGGCTCGTGCTGGTCGGAAGGAAGGCTCTAAACCCCGACTCTGACCCTAACCTGGTGACAGCGGGAAGCCACGGGGGCTCAGAGCAGAGCGAGACCGTAAGGGCTGCAGCACGAAGACCAGGTGGCTGTGGCACTGAGCGCAGACAGGTCTGGGGGGTGGGGGAGGGGGAAAGACCATGGGGCAGGGGAGTCAGCTGGTCTTGGCAACTTGGCAGCAGACTGGAGAGGGAGGGAGGGAGAGTGGGAGGGAGGGACAGAGATTCCAGGTCTTTCTGACCCCAAGTCTGCATTCTTTGCATTGTCTCAAGTACTGTGCTGGCCTTGGTGCATGCAGGGAACACGCTCAGGCTGAGTGGCGTAACAGACCAGCTTCTGCGCTGGGAGGGAAGCCTGGGCTGGGCCAGGTAGAGGGGCTGCCTGAGGGCGGGAACGGGGTATGGGTCTGCCATTCAGCTCAGGGGAGCAGCAGCAACAGGGACGAGCCAGGCCTGTGCTGAGAAAAAAGGAAGACTCTGCGCCAGCTTGCAGAGCCTGACTTAGTGCCTGGGAAGCCAGCCAGATCCCAGGCAAGTCTCATCGGTAGGGGACCTCAGGAGAGGAAGAGCTAATGTGCCCCTAAATGTGAGTGAGAAGCCAGCTTCTTCCCGTCCGCAGCTTATGGGCACATCTGACACACGCAGTGCCAGTCACAGTCACACCAGCTGTACTGTCAGGACAGCTCAGACGCATGACACCCAGTCACACTCGCCCACAAGGCCTCCCTCGCACGGGTTCACAGCCACACAGGCTCATGGAAGCCATGCTCTCATGCCTCTGCCTGCTGACATCATAGAGAGGGGGGGAAATGTCCTCTGACATCTTTATTGCCCTCAGAGACAGGAAGTTGTCTCTCTGATCTTCTGGGGACTCCAATGAAGACAGGTGCCATCATCCAGTGATGTCAGCCCAGCTGGCTCTGGGGTACAGTATGATCGGGTGGGGTAACGAGGGAAGTCAAGGGCACCTGGGGAGCACCTCAGAGGCCTCTGTGGGAAGATCAGACCAGAGGAAGGCGGATCTGCGCTTCTAGCCTCTCCCTCACCCCAGCAGTGACCTTGGGGCAAAGTACCTCACCTCTCCGGGTGGCAATCCCCCGCAGTAAAAGGCAGATAATGACCAACCTCACAAGGCAGTTGGAAGTGCTAACTCAGATAATGGCTGTCAAGTACCGGGCAGGGACCCGGCAAATGGTGGCAATAATCGTAACATTTGTGACAGCCACAGGAGCCTGTGTGTGTGTGTGTGTGTGTGTGTGTGTGTGTGTGTGTGTGTGTGTGTGCGCAGACACTAAGGCAGGGATGGCAAACCTTTTAGAGCTTTCAAGGAGGCCTACTACTTCGGCTCAGCAGCAGGATGTGAGGACACCCACACCATGCCACACGTGTAGACAGTGTGCACCCCTGCGGTCAGCCAGCGCCAGAAGAGCAGCGGAGCTTTGGGAGGCTGGCAGTTTGGGACTGACGGTGGGGCGATCTCCGCCGACCTGAACCTCGGAGTCAGGGAGCAATAGGATGGCCGGACCCACTGTTCAGCGTGACAACTAGCGGGCTCCTTGGCTTCCTCCAACTAGCGGAAACCCTGCAGAGGAGGAGGCCTACAGAGACACTGAAGGCTGGCTCCTGGGGTTCCCACCTTTCTCTAGGAGAACCCCACGCTGAGGGCTGCAGAGAAAGGGAGGACAACCCTGAGGTAAGGAAGGCTTCCAGAAGAGGAAGGGCGCACAGCTTGCAAACCTGCCCTCTGGCGGCCACAGGCGCTCACAGCAGCCTCGCTTTGCTTTGAGGCCCAATCTTTTTGCCGGTAGCACAGGGAGCAGGGCCAGACACCTGATAGAGCACTGCACCGGTGAAGGACGCAGACACCGGAGCTGCATGGCCTAGATTTGAAATCCCAGCTCCACTGCTATTGCCACCGCTATCACTTACCAGCCCGATGACCCTGGATGAGTGAGTTCATCACTCTGGCTCAGATTCTTCATTTATAAGATGAGGTCAGTAGTAACAGTATCAGTATGCAGTTGTAACAAATGTTTGCATCAAGTATGTGAGATAAAAAACAACATGCAGTCTCTGTTTTCATGAGAAACCACTTTGAAGGTAACAATATGTAATCCAGCAAGCACTGTTAATTTCCTACCAGTTTGTAACTCTGTATTGTCTGTACTGTTCCTTTGCTATTTTGTAAAAGGTTGTCTGTCTGTTAATGTTTTCCTCCTTTTATTTTTAAAATAAAAAAAAGACAAACAATATCCATCCTATAGGTCTGGGGTCTGTGCTGCTTAAAGCACGTCTTGAAAGGTGGGAGTTGGACACACCCCACATCCCTCACCTGGGGTTGAATTCTAGTTTTGGCGCAGTCTGTACTGTGCTTGTTGACTTCTTATACTGTGCTGGGGGCGCGGTACTAAAATTCACTCTTGAACATTCTCTAGGAAGGCACCGATGTGGAAAAACACACCGTAGCCCTGCATGGCCAGTTTTTCTAGTTGTAGTCTATCTCCAAGTGCCAGATGCAGCAGCTGGTTTGTGCCCAAGGGCAATGTGTATGTGTGTGTCTTCAGCCCCTGGAATCATGTTCAGTGTTGGCATGCTCACATGCGAGCTGCACGGAAGCAGGTATCAGTTACAATCTCAGATGTGACTCTACCATCTCACACGCAGGGTCACATATTCATCCTAAGAGGACACTCCACTATAATGTAAAATTGACCTTCTTTCTTTTTGACAAAGTACTCTAAGACTGAATCTGCATGTTTTGACTAAAAGCATTCAAGATGCAACTCCACTGACGCACCTCTCCAAAACTATTTCATCTGTAAAATGGAGCAACAGTATTACATCATCAGCTACTGAAACTACGTGTGTACAAGGATTTTAAACAGCTGCCATGTGTAAATGACTTTCTCCGTCCTCCCCCCAATTTTCCCTCACTAGCCATGTGACAGGAAGTCAGTCACTGCAGCCTCTAGGTTTCAGTGTTCTCAATAAAAGGTCCCTTCAAACTTGCAGCTTTCAGGGTAGTTCTGTGATCCTCAGGCAATTACATGCAGGAAATCTCACAAATACTAAATTCTACTTATGTAATTATCTCCAGGACTGCTTTATCCCACCCATACGGGTCTCATCCATAAAGACCAGTCCTTTTGCACAAGGTTACATGTCGACACCTCTGAAATTAAACATGCAGCTTAATGATCTTGTTTACTATTTCACTTGATTAGATGTGCTCTCCAGCCACACCTGAATCAGCCAAAGTGGCTAGATCTGTGCCATCTACTACAGTCCTTCAATGACCAGAGATTTTTGAGGACACACACACACGCACACGCACGCACTGGGTGAATAGTCACCATCCCTGGCTTTGGGAAAAAGTGGTACTTCTGGAAAGCAGTGGAGATACGCCAGGCGTGGTAGCGCACTCCTATAATCCCAGCACTCGGGAGGCTTAAGCAGGAGGATCAGTGTGTTTGAGCCCAGCCTGGGCTACAAAGTGAGTTCAAGGCCAGCTTGAACTGCACAGTGAGACCCTGTCTCAAACAAGAAAGGGAAGCGGGAGGGTAAGGGGGAAGGAGAAGGAGAGGAGAGCAGGAATGAAGAAAAGCAAGCAAGCAGTGAAGGTAAAGGAATGAGCTTTGGAGTAAGGCCTGGACTGAATGATTCTGGCTTTGCCATCAACTATGAAAACTTTAGAAAGTTAACCTTTTTGAGCCTCAGTTTTCTCATCTGTAAAACTGCACTACACTGATATTCCTGACAGCACTGCACGGGTTAAATTAGTAGTTACCAGAGGCCTTGGGTAGGCTGAGGGATTGGAAAGTACCCCCTATTTCCTATGTGAGACTTACTGAGTTTCAATTCTATCTCTTCCAGTGTGACTGGCCTGCCAGTTACCTGACCTCTCTGAGCCTGTTTCCCTATCACTACCACCCTCACAGCATGGCTGTGCCTGCTGCCTGGCCCTCCTCCCAGCCTAGCCCCTAGTCATTGTGCTAATCCAGCTCTCACACAGGACTCAAAGCAGTGGTGTCAGCAGAAGGATCTTCTCTCAGTGTCTGAGAACCTTTGAAGATTCAGTTTAAATAGCCCATCTCACCAGAAGGCTTTCCTCAGCCAGTGCCCTGTCCCCGTCCTCAGCATGACTTAACCCTCCACCCCAGAATCCTGTCTTGCCAGGGAACACTTCCCGAGTAGCCTCCCAAGTCAGTTGCCCTGGGCTGGCATCTGCTCCCTACCTTGGTCAAGACAGCGCTCCCTTTAGACAGAACTGTGGTTTCCTCATCTCCGCGTTTGTCATAGGAAGGCTGCCACAATGTGTCTGCTCTGCAAAAAACAAAACAAAACCAAAAACTCCACTGTCACCTTTTGGAAATTACTCTCTGGGAGAGCAGTTCAGGAGCAAGACAAGGAACAAAGGTCTGGGCAAGATAAGTTTACTTGGGATGATCAGACTCTGTAAAAGAACGTGATGTCCTCGTAGCTGTAGCACAATCACCAGCAGGTTTTGTGCCCCAGGTGCTGTTCTAAATGTTTAAATGTACTGTCTGGTGTAACCACACCCCAACGCTAGCAGGTTGGTATTAACCTCATTTTATAATGACATTATAAATGAGGAAAGTGAGGCTCAGAGAGATTAAATAATTTCCTCAAGTTCACACAACTGGTGAGATATTCAATGAATGGCAGCAAGCACTGTTCCAAGGCAGGAATGCACTGGGACACAATTTCAAACACCCAAGGGCTCCAGTGGCGTGGCCATGGGGTTTCTGTGTGTGGACCAGCTCCAGCCTTACTCGCTCAGATGCACAAATGACAAAGAACAATCAGTGTTATAAATTGAGTTAACATAATATATTTATTTTAAGTGCCATTCATGCATATCAGTTCTGGCAGCAACAATCCTAATGACACTTGGAATATTTCTTTACAGCACTAAACAGTTACAAAGGATGGGTGTCGTTCATCATAGAGGCAGAATATGAAATCGTGCAATAGCAAAACTGTAGAAACATTAAAACACTGTCCAACATCAGTACAGAAAGCAGGTTGTGTTTGCACAAAAAGCCAATGCATTTTCATCACATATATACAATATAGATATGTACACATCACCCTCTGAATGAACAATATCAAAATACTCTATTCCGTTTGAAATTATCCCCAGATTGATTCCCTCCCACTTCAAAGGACATTTGAGAGACACATATTTACAAAAACACACGTGAATACATTTACATTTCAAAAACTGCCACAAATGCCAGTCGGATTATTCTCCTGGACAGAGTGTCCCTGTTTGATTACAGGCATTTATTATTGTTTCCCCCAAAAGTCTTTAATTTAAGCCCAAGACAGAATGTACTCTACGCTAGCAATTACCAACAGAAATGGCCGCTAGAGGGACTCTGCACCTCGCCAGGTAGCCCTGTCAGGCCCACAGCCCCTGGGCCACCTGGATGACAGGAGAGTGGGACAGGTATGGGTGGAGACTTTGCCTCCAGGGCCATTCTCGGTAAGTTTAAAATACTCATAGAAATATTGACCACTGAAAATCAGTAAATGACTGCCGAATGGGAAATCAGCTTCACATAATTTGTAAAATCACAGTCAGTGGTTCTACCTTACTCATTCAGTTTAAGAGGCTGCATTCCAATACCCAAGTAGTTTAAAGTGCACATCGCTATCCAAGCAATTCAGACCGTTTCAAAATAGCAATTTTGGTGTCTAGAAAAGTGACTCAAGTAGACTATTGAAAATCACCCCCTTTTTTCAAGCTTTTACTCTGCAGGCTGCAATCTCCTTCTGCCTTGATCCTTCTAAGAGGGGCCTGTTGGTTGCTTTTCCAGAATCCTCTTCACTGATCCTAGGGCCTGGAACTGAGCTTCCTTTTCATGCCAAGCAGGGTCCAAACAACAGAGAAACACAAAGCTCTCCCTTCTTCTCCAACCTCACCAGCCCTTAGCACGGCCGGCTTCCCAGTGATTCATTGAAGGCAACACTCCATTTAAAAAAAAAAAAAAAGAATCTATGTTCACACACACCCGCTCTCTCCTGCCCTCTCTCAAACATACATACACAGAGAAACAAAACTTTATTTCAAGTAGAGATTACTCAATCAAAGAATCACTAAGGCTAATTAAAGTGATTAGCATGGCTGATAGAGATCAGAGATGCTAAAATAGCAACCAGTGAGCACATATTCCTCAATTTGGTGGAACCCTTTCCCCACTACAATGGAAAAGACTGGGAGGGGGGTGTTTCTAAAGAATTAATTCAAAACCTATTCATTAAGAAAAAACTCTTATTTCTTCTAGTTCCATTAGAAAACTCAAGACAATCCATGCAAAGGAACTGTAATAAGACATGAAACAGAACAGTTAAAAACCCCTAAAAGAAGAGCTTCCTTTCAGAGAAAGTGACCAAATTTCAGGTGCGCACAGGACAACACAGCAATAGCAGGCCACTTTATAACTGCGCTAAATACTGAGGCAAATAACTTCTATTTGTAGCCCTACCTCCTGTCAGTGCTTCCTAAATGGAAAAAAAACGACTGAGGAAACTTGCTTTCTAAACCCTGCCCTGCTGTTCTCTTGCCCAAATGGGCTCTGATTCAAATTCCAGAAAAGCCCAATTTAGCTATTACATCTTAACCAGCAGGAATGCTAAGAGAAAGAAGTGTATTTACCTGGTAAAGTAGTTGGATTAGAGAATGACAAATGTCTTTTTGAAACAGGGTCTCACTGTGCATTTCAAGCTGGCCTTGAACTCACTTTGTAGCCCAGGCTGGCCTCAAACTCACAATGATCCTCCTGCCTCAGCATCCCGAATGCTAGGATTACAGGCGTGTGGCACCACGTCTGGCCAACTGTCCCTTTGATTGTCTCATCTGTAAACTCTTACCAAGAAAAACAATTCTGTGCTTTCAGACACCACATTTTGCCTTAGCAAATCCAATAAAAGCTGAGCATTCATAAAGGTGGCAATAAATATTTTAAAATAACCGCACCCTTGAATAATAAATACGTAAGTGAATGTAGAGGCATTGATTTGCTTAAAGACCCAAGTAATGCTTGGCTTCTAATCAAACAAATTTCAGAGCTGTTACAATGCAGACGTAGGAAACAGACATCAACTAAGTACAACATATACTCTATACTCCCCCAACATCAAAACAATTTTGGTCAGTTCTTTACGCTGCTCAGGACAACACAAGCTCTTGGTTTCTTGATTTACTAAATAGAATTTCTTAATACCCACATTTCTGAAAAAGATTAAATAAGGGAAACTGGGCTTTGGAGAAATCTATTTCCTTTCAGTTCCCTACCTTAATTAAATGCATCCTGCAGAAAATAGCTTAACAAGGAATAAAATCTGACAGTAACTTTCCTCTCAATACATAATAATCCAATTAGAAAAACTGAAGCCTTTCAGTAATTTTTGTACATATATTTACACATATGTATCTATAAACTGCTTGCAGCAAAATAGGCTCTGTCTGAAAAATCAGTCTGGCACTTGTGGTTAACATCAAACTGACACAAATATGCAAAAAGCCGTCCAAATCACACAACAGTTAGGAGCTACATAGGGCAGTTGGCAGGGAGACAAACATGTAGTACTTGTCTGGGTCAGATAAAAGCAATTAAGTTATCCAGCTAAAATCGTTTTGATTGTCTTCAAAAGAATTTCTGATAACATTGGTAAGTGATCAGGAACCTTGTTTTCTCATCTGGATTCTCTTAAACCTTTCCCTTCACTGCAGAGACGCTGGGGTCTGAGGCTTTACAGAAACAAACCCTACACAATTGAATCCCAATCAAAGTCATCCTGGATGTCATCTGGGGGCAGGGAGCGCCGCATCTGGAAGGCTTGGGAAGGCATCATGTGCTGCTGGTTCATGGTTCCGTGATGGCCTGGAAGGGAGAAGGCAAGGTCAGTAGAAGCTTGGGTAGAAAGGAAAGGAACAAGCGAATCCTCAGTGAGCATCTCGTATGTGACACGTATACAGCACTCATTATGTCACTAATCCACCTAGCAGCTTTTAACAAAGCAACTGTTACAATCTTTATTTTATAGGTAAAAGGGGGTTACGCTTAAGAGAATGAGCTTTTTACCCCTAGTCGGGTAAAACAGGGCTGAGACAAGATGTGACATTAGTTCACTTGACTCCAAACCCCATACTCTCTCCATTATGCTAGGCTGCAGTGAGGAAGCAAAAGAAAGTGCTGATGCAGCCACTTCCCTTACAGTTTGTTCCGGTCTAGCGTGTCCTATTAACACAAATCGGTACACATAAGAATGATAAACAGGAGAATAATGTCAACATGCCACTGAAGTCAGATTAGGTCAGACTAAATTTTATCTGCAACTTAATGTTTGGGCCACCAAGTAAATGAGCAAGTGAACACAAGAGATATTCACACACTGGACTGCAGTACACGCTAGAGAACAGCGGCCCCTGACAGCCACTCACTCCCGTTCTTCCTGGATCACTCTGGTCTGTTTCCTTTCTCCAATTTCAGTGAATGCTGCCCTGGTATCTGCATCGTGATAGGCCCCCTGCTAAACCAATGTCATTATTTTTAAAGTAGAAACTGATACTTACAGAATTCATTCTTTTACTAAAAATTAAGCGTATCTTTTTAGTTGTTGTGGAGTTTTTACTGGGTTATTAACATTTTTGTAAGTACTCCAATTACAAAATTTCAAGCAGTCTCAATCTTACTTTTCTCATTAAGTCCTATATTTTTAACGTACAATTTTACAAAACACTAAGGCTTTCAGTATATCACAGTAACAGTAGAAATGTCTACGTCTTTCAGCTATTTAACAAAAACTTATAAATTCCTTACTGTGTTGTCAGGTACTAATTTATGTGGTTCCCACATAACCATCATTTAATACTAACAACCGCAGAAGTTGGTGGTGCTCTTAGCCCTCCTTTAGGACCAAAAAGCTGGGGTAGGACCAAAAAGTTGGGTAGTTAGGTAACTTGCCCAACCTCTCACAGGTCTTAGGTAGTGAACATCAGGATTCAAACCCTGGCAATCTGGCTCCAGAGCTTGAATTACCAGATCATCCCACTCACAAATTAGTAGACTAGCGAGTGCTCGCAACAGGTAACATTCCTTCCTCCTCAAGGGACATGCCACGTGGTTCCAATTCTTTCTTTGCTATTACCTAGCACACAATTATTTCAAGGTTTTAACACACATACACACCCACGCTCCAATTACCTTTTGTCTTTTCCTCAGATAGTCTAGGTAAAGGGTAGTGTAGTATATGAGAAAAACAACACTGAATCTAGACATCAGGTCTTTCTTTTTTGAGATAGGGTATTGGCATTTAGTTCAGGCTGGCCTTGAACTATGTAGCCCAGGCTGGCCTCAAACTTGCAGCGATCATCCTGCCTCAGCCTCCCAAGAGCTAGGATTACAGGTGTGCACCAAGAGAATACACATCAGGTCTTGAGTTTTGGTTTTGCCATTCACCAAACTGGGTGGCCTAGACAAGCACATTCCGAGACCCCATTTCGTTTTCTAGGTGATCCTTAAGATCCCTTCAAGCTCTAGTAATATACCCCAGGGTTTTCTGGTTAAATATGCTATAAGAACCCCAGGAAAAAAAGGTTTATGAACTAGTATTGGTAACTCCTAAAACTTGATCTTTGTAAGGAACTTGCCTGGAAACTACAGCTGGGGAAACTCCGTTGGCCTGAATGGAATAGAATTCACACAAGTTAATTAAAACTGTGCTCTTTAAGCCTGCCAAAGTCCTGTCAAAAGTCAAATATTCTCAAAGATGCTCTGCACTCCAGCTTCTCCAAAGAAAGTTCACTCCCTCCCAAAGCTGTCACATTCACTGTTGGGACAGCACATAGTTTTCAATATCAAATTCTGGATACCGACCTCAACACATGCAACCCTACCCCACACACATGTACACACACATTACCTGCCATCGTCGTTCCTGGAGTGCTAAGCGCCTGTGGGATATGAGGATAACCCGGGGGCGGCATCACTGAAGGAGGGAGATTTTGCCTGGAGTCTATGTACAAATTTCCTAATCAGATTAAAAAGTAGAAAGAGGGGAAATACGTTACCATAAATAAATCAAACATTAAAATCTTAATGGAACTGCTGCCTAAAACTAAACTACAGGAGCAAAATGAGGAGGGAGAAGGAAAAATTACTCTTTTCAGATGCTAAATCTCTCCCCAAAGGTGGGGCTGGTCGTTTGAACAGGGTGCCAAGCTGGGTGTGAGTATAGTGCTACTAATTGCAGTGCTGCCCTGAGTGTAAGTTATATCCTCTGCTGTTGTCACATACTATAATACAGTTCAAAAGTACTTTCATATCCATTACTTCATCTGACCCTCCCAATAGGCCCAAAGGGACAAGACAGGAATTGTTATCCCTATCCTATAGGTGAGGCAACTGAAGCTTAGAATGGCTGACCTGACTGGCCCAAAGATACATGAATCTGACAGGTTAGGCATAGAATCCAGATCTCCTAACTCAGTGGTGGTGAACATGTAGCACATGTAGCACATGTGCTGCAGCAGGCTGAATCGCTGAAAGTTTTAAGAAGTTCACTATTACTGTCCTAACTCATGAGCTCTTTCTACTGCTCCCTATTTCTCTATTGCTCTAATCTTCTTACCCCTAGAAACAGCTCAATTGTGTGTGCTTTTAGTTGGTTAACACAGTGAATGACAGACACAAGATGACAGTAAAGATCTGTATAAAGATGCTACACCAAGCAAAAGTGATTAATACTGTGTTATTTATGGAGTATGTAGATGGGAAATATACATCTCATTAAAATGGTATTTCAATAGATTCTTAATGTATTTTCATTCACAGGGACGGGAAAGAAAAATCATGAGCTCTCCTCCAATAATTCATAGGTAGATGGGCCATAAAATTGGTTCACATTGTAAGGAACATCTAGAATTTTAGAAGGCTCTTTTTCTAAAGTTTCCATATTTCACACAAATATGTAAATTTGAATTGTAAGAATGCTGTAGTGAAACAAAAAAATACTTTCCCATAAAAAATTTAAAAGGGAAGAAAAATCTTCCCTTTTATTGTAAGGCACACTGAATTTCACTTCTCACACGTTTTCACCTATCACTAGAAAGCTAGATTTACTGTGTTCAGCTTATGATGATTCCGAGACAACCTAACCTAACCCTACATCTATTCATGTAGCTGTGGAAACAGGGCAAGAGAGGAAGTGAGACAGAACTAGAAACAGAATCTCAAACTTCTGATCTCTGTCACTGCCTCCCAACACAACATGCTTTTATAATATAGTTTCAAGTCCATTCTTGATGGACTTAGGAGAAAAAGGAGAAAAATTAAGCTACGGTCTAATACTCCTGGGGAAGGGGTCCCTTTCCCCAAGCGCAGATCAATCATTATATGCATGTCTATTACACTTTCCAAAAATTACACCAGGCCGGGAAGGCCATACCACTTTGAATAAGATGGTCACTTGTTTACAACAGCAAGATATGACTTTTCTCAGCCATCAAAATTTCCATTGGCTCATTTTGCATTATGGTAACAATTTAGCCATGTAACAAAAAACAACATTTTAAAATCACTTAAAGCTCAGAATTAAGTCAACTTTCTAGACACTGTCTTTTAAAAAGCTTAGTTCTCTTTCTACATAACTTTAGAGTTTAAATCATGACCAAAAGACAAAACTGATTTTTAAAATATTTTTTTCATTTCTCTTTTTATTGGATGAGTAATTCTGACTGTAAAGGGAGAGGGGTAGAAATTAGAGAAGAGTTATATGAATAAAAGAACATCTACTTTGTATCTACCCCAAGTGAACTCTGAACTTCAATTTTGTTTAACATTCTTAGAAGACGTAACACATTTTGATTTTCATCACAAATTTATATAACTTTAAATCGCTATAACTTTGTAACTGTGTTCATCTAAGTATCTTTAACACATTTGCTGACAACCATATAAAGTTAAAGAATACAAAGGCAAGTTAATTACTATAATAAATCACATAAATCGCAACAGAAGTCTTTTTACCTCAATTTTTCTAAGACATATATAAACTAGCTACCATTCATTTCTTTCAAATCAAAGGATGCAAATGGATCACTGTGTGTACTATCAAAATACCAAATCACATAAAACAATTAGTGAATTTCATTTAAGTGAGAACGAAAAACAAAGCACCCCGCCCTTACCTGTTCCAATGTGTTGGGAGGGTTTTGTTGGATGCATGGCACCATGACAAACATTTTGCTGCACATTACTCTGTGAGTGGATAAGGCCAGTTTGTGTAAAGAACTGATTAAGGGAAGAACAGAGATCAGCAAACTGAACCTGATCTAAAGACCAGTTCTTGAGATCTGCCTGTCTCATACTCTCCATCAGACCTATGAGGAAAGCATTTAAAACAGTCAGTACAGTTCTGCAAACCTGCAAAAATAATAGCAAGGTACTGATTTGCCCATGCAACAAAAAATGACTTTTTAAGATCAAAGCCCAATATTTATAAATATGGCCAAATTGTTTCAGAACTCATGTCTAATCCTCGGCTATGCTAATTGACCAAAATATATTATTATGAATGTTACAGTGTTCTTTTTAAAGCTTATTACCAACTACAGAAGAAATGCCTTTGTATGAAGAAGTGTTTGTTCTACTACAAAGAAACTTACAATCTTCTAAAGAAAACAGGATTGTGTATTTGATTCTAAGTCAAAAAGAACCAACACGCACCTTGAAACTGGGAAAGGTCTACATCTGACCAGTTAACACTGCTGGCAATTCTACAGCTTTCTTTTAGCATATCAAGTGTGGCATACCAATCATTTGAAACACCTGTAAGATAATATTAACAATACTTTAATTCTCAGACAGTAAAAGTTTAAGGAATTATTAAGGGATGACAATAACTTGATCTTATTCCTTACACTGGCTGATCCCTGTCATCTTAGAAGGGAACTTGTACCTTTTACATCAGGTGTGAGAATAATCTGCTCTCTGAGACCAGCAGAATGGGTATTATTTCTCTCCATCTGACAAATAAAAGAACTGAACCTAGAGGTGGTACAATTTAACAAGGACCCCACAATGAATCTAAGACGAACACAGGTCTTCTACCCCCTAGTCTGCAGCTTGCAAATTGCCATATCACCTTATAATGTAAAACTTGGTGCCATTCTTTCCATTTGTACAATACAAATTAAATGACTAGGCAGGAAAGTTCATGCAAATTAGTATTTCCCCTATTTAAAGTTTTGTTTTTCTTTCTTATTATGACCTTAAAAAATATGCCTGACATTACTTACAAAGGAAAGCTCACATTTACAAGCAACAGACAATAAAATGTAATACACTGACTTAAAGGAGATAGACTAGATCTTACAGAAGTAGATCCTTCTTATGAGGCAACCTTAAGAGAGAGAAATGAACATGAGGCACCTTTTGACAAGGTAGTGGAGAGAGGGCTGAGAATTCTGTGAGAAATGCTAGTGAATCTTGGTTAGGGCACTTTCAGACAGGAATGGTATCTCCTAATATGATATCAGGAGAATTTAAGGCTAAGGCTCCACTGTCTGTATGTCAATCAAGTGATCACCCACCAGTCAGGGGCCGTAAGACAAGAGTTGCCTTCAATGAGACAGTGCTTGAACAGAGGAACAAACATCCTCTTAGTGACTGCTGCCAAGTTCTTCTGCTAATGTCAGGATCACTCTTGGATGGACGAAAGTAAAAACTAATAAAAAGGACTTTTTTTGCTACATCATAAGACAGCTCTTACTTGTATCCACTAACAGTTACTTGACTTTCAAATTGTTGCCAATTATAGATTTTTAAAAATCAACAATGAACCAGAGCCAGAAATAACATTAAGCCTGACCTCAAGAACTAGCAACTATGCCAGGCATGGTGGCGCACGCCTGTAATCCCAGCACTCGGGAGGCTGAGGTAGGATCGTTGCAAGTTTGAGACCAGCCTGGGCTACAAAGCGAGCTCAAGCCCAGCCTGAATTGCACAGCGAGACCTTGTCTCAAAAAGACAAAAAAAAAAAAAAGAACTAGCAACTTAGGGAGACTTTACTGGAGGAAGAGGCTAATGTCCCAAATGAGCTATAAACATTCAAATCTATGAGCCTCAGATCTTCTAGGCCAGGAGAACTTCATAGATACAGAAATCATGGTTCAAAGAAATTATATAGTTAAGGTAATTCAAACAATAAAACAGCCAAAGCATTACTAGAGCCCAGGTCTCTTGAGGTTAACAACACCGTCAAAAAGCCAGGGTAACACAAAGGCTCCCTGAAAGCAAACTATGCCAAGGAATTAGGGCACTCTTGCCGTAACTTATTTTCCCCTTGGGGGTGGTGGGAAGGGGGCACTTTTAATACACGCTGACTTGGTAAGCCATAAATGAAGCAACCTCTGCAAGACAAAGTGGTGAGCAAACTCTACTCAATAAACTTACCCACGTAGTCTGCTCATTAGTCTTTTAGAATAACTAGCATTATAGGCTTCAAAGTCAGATCAGAATATAAAACCCAGTTCTACTACTTACAAGCAGTTGAGCTTGAACAAACTGCTTGACTTCTTTGAGCTACGTTTTTCCCATCTATAAAATGTGGTAATCTATACTTGATTTGGGAGGACAATATAAGAAAATATATCTAAACTGCCTAGTACATAATGGACCCTCAACTTCTGTATCTTCTCTGACTTTAACCGCTCAGTCCCATCCTACCAATAAGAAGTATATAATTCACAGGTACAAATTATTATCACAGCTGCCAACTCAATGAAAAGGTAGGTACAACCAGAGCACCATGAACTTCTACCAATACTCCATCTCTACTCATTAGTCTATCCTCCGAATCACAGTAGTAACAGTTCTAAATTTCTGAAGAACATTTTAATGTTTAAAGGTAGACAACAGTAATGACTCTGAAAGAGTTTAAACTGTTGCCTAAGTTAAAGGTACATTGCCGTGCATTTCTGTATCTTATTTCATTTAATCGTCCTCTAAAAATACATTAGTTTTCATTTTGTAAATACAGAAACCGTTTCAGAAAAATTTAAAGCTTTACTAAACAGCAGTCATAATACAAAACAACACAAACCACCTATGCTCATTTCCTTGACAATAGTCAGTGTCCAAAACAATGATTAATTTTTAACCATGAGTGAGATGTAGCTCTGTCTAGTATTTAGAAATCTTTCCTCCAGGATAAAAATCTCATGAATGATATGGTTGATAAGCAGTCATCCAGGCACACCTAGGAAAGGAGAGTACTCTGCATAACTCCACTCACCCTGGAGTCTGTGTGCATGGTATAAAGACTACCTGGCCTGTGAGAAGGGCCAGAAACCACGAGAATATATCTTAAGAGTAACATAGATTTTTAAAAGCAGGATATAAAGAACATTTCTTACTTTGCAATCTATTATTCTATTAGATACTTGGCAGGAATGGCAGAAAAGAGGCAACATCCATGAATACTTAAGTGAAAACACTGGGTCTAGATAGTTCCTATTGGTATTCTCAGTATCATCTTCATAACAATACTGCATACCACTCCACTTTTATAGATGAGAAAATAACAAGTCTAAAAGTAACTTGCCCAAGATCACAAGAGCTATAATGAGGTTTCAAATATAGATCTTTCTGGCATAAATCTACTCTTTCTTTATAACCCGAAGGCATTACAAGACATTGTAGACAGACTGTGCGTTCTATTCTCCTTTCCAGTGTTCACTGGAAGCCATGGCCAGAAGGACAGAATGCTTAGAGTTAATTAAAATCAAAACCAGCAAGAGTTGCTGAGTTTGCCTATGTTGCCACAGTAAATTTAGTCAAGAAAATCTCTAGATGAACCTATAGATTAAGTGAGTTACAATTACAGGATTATAGCAAGAAAATACAAAAGAATATTGCTAGTAAATGTCACATAAGGCCCAAGTAACAGAGGACAGATTTAGTTCACATTCAGCCATACATAAGCCAGGAGATGGAAACTTACCAGAATTACAGGATACCTGCTGTGGAGGCGGGGGTGCCTGGTGTGTCAGCGTCTGATGCTGATGGTTCGGATGGTGCTGTATGTGTTGATGTGGAGAAGGGTGCTGGGGAGGAGGTGACTGGAGCTGGCTGTGCTGCTGTGGGTGTGGGGCTGGGTGCTGAGGACGCTGCGGATGTGGCGGTAAACCATGCGGCCGGTGGGGTGCGTGTGGAGATGGCTGTGTGTGCATCTGAGCATGGGACAGAGAGACTTGTGCAACTGAATTACTGCCTGTAGTACCGAGGCCACTACCATGACTGTTGGACAGGCTGCTTTGGTTGCTGTGTGGGTGAGAGCTCACTGTGCTGCTGGGAGAGTGCTGGTAGGAACACGAAGTGTGGGACTGCTGGGAAGATTCAGAAGGGATGTTCATCAGACCTAAAAACAGACAGCAAGATCATCTGTAGTCAAATTTCACTTCTATTTTACAACATTTGCATTTACAGAGCAGTGCATAGTCTAGTGGAAGAGACACACACACTTAAGATTACATGTAACAATCTAAGTACTAAAGAAAAAGTATATAAACGACTAAAGGAATTTGTTCCTTGCCTGTTTAGCTAGGAAGCAGGTGGAGGAGCTGGAGATACAGAAAAGCCTTTCCCAAAGTATATCCAAGTTGAGTCTTGAAAGTTGCATAAACATTAGAAAAAAGTGAGAAAGGTGTTGGGCTACACTCACAATGGTTCCCTGTAGGTATTAAGCCCAAATTTTTGACTAAACATAAAGCCCAGTCATTCCTAATCTTTTACCTCTTATCTCTGACTATTGCAAAAACTTTAAGCCTAAAGTGGCTCGAACCCTTAAGACTAAGCAAAACAAAACAAAACAAAATGACCATCTCCACTATTCTTCATTTCTCTTATGGAACTTTTTTGGGGGTGTGCAGGGGATGCTGTACTGGGAATTGAATCCACAGCCTCCATACTGAATTATAACCCCTGCCCCCTTTCAGTTTTTATTCTGACACAAGGCCTTGCTATATCATTAAGTTGCCTAGGCTTGGCTTTATCTTGTTTTTCTCCTGCATCAGCCTCCAAGAGTGCTACGATTACACACAGGTGCCACTAACCTGGTTTATGGAACATTCTTGAAATATGTAGTTTAGTGTTAAAAATGCAAACTTTATAGTACCACAAAGGGGATTAAAGCCTCTCACTGCCACTTACACATTCTAACTTTGCAAAATTAATCTCTCGGAGCCATGACTGTCTCACTTGTTAATGGGCATGAGGACAGTACTCTGCTTCGTACCATTGTTTTGAAGACTAAATACCACAGGGCAAGTGCAAGAAGAACTCAGTAAAGGTTAGTTGTTTAGTCCAGAAGTGCCTAATGTTAAAAAGAACATATGTTTGGTTTGCAGGTAGTTAATAAATCTTACTACAATACCTGGGTACAAGACTACTTTCACATTCCAAACAATGGTCCATACAATATTTTGGTGTACCAAGCATGAAAAATTTTATTAAATCAAAGAAAAATTCCACAAGATAGTGTCGAAGAATGCAAACTGTTTAACACAGATATAACTGTCCTCACAACATTTGTCCTTAATAGTAAAATTGCACTTGAGTACACTAAAAGACAACTTAATAGGTTTTAGAGATACAAGAGTACATGGGAGTGCCCGAGTTGAGGTACAGCTCAGTGTAGAACAGAAATATCCTAGCATGCATGAGACTGTAGGTTTGATCCCTAGTGCTACACTACAATCAATCAATCAATCAATCAATCCATCCGTATTTTAAGAAGTTCTTGCATTGGCCTTGGAAAACCCTAGGGAACAGAGTTATTAGTAAGATAAAAGAAAGCAATGTTTCCATTATCTGTTTCCTATAAAATCCTAATAGTGAAGCAGGGATCATGGGACACATCTTGGGTCACCAGGGCTGAAGGATTCCAAGTTCAATCACAGCCTGGAGTACATATGAAACACTATCTCAAAAAACCACACCCTTCCATTTTATGAGGGAATTGAAATGAGTAATCTACACCAACATTTTCAACTTCAAATTGAAATTTGGTGCTAAATTATTTTTAAATAAAACCAAACAGAGCAAAATATCTTCCCAGAAGCTTCTATGTAAAATGGATGAAGCTGTTACTTGCAAATAAGAGAAGGAAACCTGCTATATCTGCCTTCTCATCTGCATATTCTTCCTCCTTCAGCCTCTGAGACCCTTGCAAAAGCCAAAGGCTCTGAAGGGGACAATTAGAAAACCAATGATCTAGATCAATGGGGTTCATTTTACAAATAGGGATACTGAGATCCAGAGAAGCAAAGTTATAGAACATGGATCAGAACCAAGTTCTTACTACCAATGTTTTTTTTTAAATGTATAAATTATAAACACCTATTTTTTTTTTAAAATTAAGTTTACTGGTACATTTTAGGTATACATAATGATCATATTCATATGTGTGACAAAATGTGGGCTTCAGAAATTGTCACCACTGTTTTTTAAAAGCCAGTATTTTTTATTATGATCATCAAGGTTAGAGTTGCTTAGAAAAGTCTTAATATTTTTTTTTTTAATTTTTAGTTTGATAGTACTGGCATGTCAACCCAGGGGCCTGCTCACACTAAGCAAGCACTGTATCACTGAACTACATCCCCACTCCCATTAATTCTTTTTACACATTCGTAAGTAAAAAGTTTAAGATACTATCTGAGAAGATACGACTCCTACTTCAAAAATATTAACCAGGAAAGCCACTTCATATACAAGCTATCAATATTCAAATATATATATGTTCACTTTCATTATGATAGTGATAAGCATTAAAATATAAACTGTATAATGATATGAATTTTTGTCTGTACTATTCACTGTTATGAACAGGCAAACTCTGAATTGCGGTGCTGTGGACTGAATGCATGCTTCCCTCAAAATTCGTATGTTAGAACTTAACCCCAAAGTGACAGATGGTAGTGAAAGGTGTGCCCTCCGCAGGTAATGCCAGTGCACACCTGTAATCCCAGCTACTTAGGAGGCTGAGGCATGAGGATTGCAAATGTGATGCTAACAGGGACAAGTTAGGAAGATCTTGTTTCAAAATATAACAAAAAGGGCTGGGGATATAGACCATTACTAAAGCGCTTGCTTAGAATAAATGACAGCCCAGATTCAATCCCCAGTACTACAAAAAGGGAGGGTGAGGGCATGCTTTAGGATGTCATTAGGAATTAGTGCCCTTATACAACAGTTCAAGAGATTAGCTAGGTTCCCCTCCGCCCCAGGTACCAGTAATCGAACTTACGACCTTGCGCTTGCCAGGCAGGCGCTATGTTGCTGAGCTAAATCCCCAGCCCCCCAATTTTTTTTTTTTTTCCGGTACCAGGAATCAAACTCACGACCTCGCGCTTGCCAGGCAGGCGCTGTGCCGCTGAGCTAAATCCCCAGCCCGAAATGCTTCAGTGGTAGAATTTCCACTAGTCTGACTCTTGTTCTGTGGAAGAAAAGCAACGTGACCTTTTGACCCTGTCTGATGTCTGACTAAAATTAAACTAGTTGCTAATGAGACAAAAACACATTATAGCAATAAGCTAGCATTTGGTTGAGAAATAATACTGCATTTCAATTAAGCCCACTTGTAGGATTAAAATCTAATTCATGTATTGTGTAAAATAACCAGAGCTTACCACTAGCCAGTATGTTCACTTATACGTGCCACATACAAAATCACAAACTTGGTGCTACTGTATCTCTATGTATAATACGAACCAACAAAAGCTGAGTCATCTACTCTTATAGTGCAACATTCACCAAACACTTTATGTGCCAAATATCACTAATTAATCGTGGCAGTCTTTTTCATGTGGCACAGCAATGTCAGAGTCACTCAACACAGCGCTCCCAGAATGCTAGTAAACACAAAAGTAGGCATGCAAGAGGAACTCTGTCATTCCTGTGCTATGATATAAACATATACACAGCATAGTAAACCCTTAAAACACATAATTATCCAATTGTGAGCAGGATGATAATGTCCTAAAACCAAGGAAGTAAAACAGCTTCTGTGTGAAAATAATTAAATAATTTCTTCAGTAAAAATCTGTTATAAAAAAGATTTTTTAAAACTCACCTTGTTGACTAAGTGACTGTTCAAAAACTGACTTGTAAAGGCTCCGAAATGAGGCACTAAGATCTTCAAAATTATATTCTGAGAAAAGTAGTTGCTTGTCTCGTTCTGGAAGGTTGTACTGTGGCTGCTGCTGAGGAGTTAATGATTGAGAGACTGGTTCTGGATGGTTTGTCACCTAACAAAAGAAAATACAACTAACTCAGCAGCTCTGTACTACAACTGCTTTGTTACATGATGCATACAATTGAAATCGTTAGAGCCAACGCTGGAATCCAAAAGAAACTGTCTTTGGACAGCTACTAGATGGGTGCACCTTTATAAGTACAGAAAGAAAAATTATTAACATGGATCTTGAGGAACCACAGAAATCTAATCCAACATCTATATTTATTAGAGGGGAATGAGTTCAAAGAAGCTAAATGACTTGACCATCCTATCCCTAAATAAAATAAACAGTAATAAGAAAACACCTAAAGAAGATCCGGAAGGAAAAATAGAGATCAGGACCTTGGGCCACACAGGGAGAAAGGAAACACCATAATATCTAAAAAAGATATTTATCTTTGGAGGCAGAAATAACTAGAAATATAACTAGCAAAAGATGATGAGCAGTAGTTCTTAAAGATTATACCAAAAAGTAGTAAACTACCATTTGTTTAGTATTTAGAAAACTGAAGCCTGAACAATTAAGGTCTGAACATTCACTGAAAATTTATATAGCTTTTAAAATGATACTCATAAGAAGACTGCAATAACACGGAAAAATATTAATTTCATGTATAGGAATGGCTTCCCTTGCACTCCTGTGGACCTTACACATCACCACACAGACAACGTAGGCAGGGCTTGATGGCAGGAGGACGTAAATCCTTGTGGAAGACCTCGTGGTTTATCCTGGAACATGAGATGACAAGTGGTCTTCTGAAGAACAAAGTCTCATCTGTCCTATCTTGTGTAAGGAAGCTATGGGGAAGTTTTTATACACCTTTCTCATCTGCCTCCCTGGTTCAGTGAGTCATGGAACTTTCTGTGCCTTGCTCCCAGAAAGGGTACAGCTGGTCATACTACTGCTTGGTTGTAGTATGGAATCTCTTCCTCCACTACAGAGTGACTCACTACTTGTGTAATGTCATATGGATCTTGTCGTTTGGTATTCTTGTGTGGGATCTAGGGAACAGACACCATGTTAATCTGGCTTACCCTGTACCTGTATATCACTTACACAGACTTATACATTTATATGCTTACAAGTCTTACACAAACTTTACATTTAGTCTGCAGAAGTAATAAAACTGTCTTCTTACATGTGGACTCCTTGTCTTTGCAGGCTCAATCTACAGGACATACAACAAACAAACCAGCATCAGCTACTCCACTGTTGCTCAGGGACTACTTGACATCTTGTTGTTAACATGAAATAGCAGTTTACAGTATCTAGCTTTCAATAGCGAAGGGTGATCTACTTATAATGACTGGCATAAAAGGGATGGTAGTTCCTACTTCTAAAATGCTTTTTTAACTTTTCCTTTTAGTATATTTTGTGATACTGAATTCAGTGTCCTATGATTTACATTGGCCTCAAGATTTTTTACACTTAAAATTATTTTAAAAAACAATTTAAATCATTAAATATTTGCTTACTTTACATCAATGCTCCAAGAATTCTTTTTATATCATGACTTCATCACTAATGAATATCAAATTCACCTCTTGATCAACTAAATATAGTAGGCCCTCTGCATCCACAGGTTCTATATCCATGAATTTAACCAACCACAGAAAATACTGGGGCTGCATCTGTATTGAACAAATACTAACTTTTCCTCTTGTCATCATTCTCTAAACAGTACTGCAGTACAACAACTATCCCATCATTTCTACACTACACTATAAGTAATCTAGAGATGAAAATATATGGAAGGCTAAGAATACATTTTATAAGGGACCTAAGTATCCTTTAATTTCTTATCTACTAAGAGTCTGAAGACCCATCCCCCCACTGAGGGATTACTGTAATGTGCAGGAAGGACACATGAAAACAAGGGCAGGCTGCTTCTGCATATCAAAGAACATCTTCAACTTTGCCTTCACCTATAAATGAAAATTTGCCAGGATAAACAGTATTTGTTATTCCAGACCTAGTCCCTGTATCTTCTGACTAAAGAGAAGCGTAATTTGTGTTTTTTATATTTAATATTTCTTTTGTCAGGTATTATATCTGAGTTTATTTCAGAAATTTGCTATGTATCCAAATACAGATTTTTTTTTTCTCATTAATTTTTCCTAGGTATCAACAATGATTAACCTGTTTCTTTTGAAAGCTGCATGTCTACCAACTTTTCTAGTTTCTGTAGGGACACCTATAACTCTCAGTTCTCCTATTTATCATGCTCTTTTACATAATTTTAACTCTGTTTCCTCTGCATTCTAAGAATAATTTTTTTCTAGAGCACTGATAGCAGTTTTGCCGAGTCAATTTTCTTGTTTCCTACATTCAATGTAAACTTTAATTCTGCTGTCTGAATTTTTGTTTCCTTTGTATTATTTTCTTATCACATATTCCTCCCTTTGTCTTTTTGTCCTGTGGGGTGTTTTGGGGTTTTTGTTTGCTTGTCTGATTTACCTCCCTATTTACTCATCATGGAACAGGAAGTGATCTGGTGAGATCAAGTTTGTACTGATGAACAACAGTGTACTGTACGGTACTTGGGCTCTGTTCTCTGCCCAATGGTAAGAACAGTAGCCAGATGGTTTGAAAAGATTAGCAGATAACTCAAGCATTGTGTTCTCATAATATGTAACAAATTAGCACAGAAACAAGAACACTTACACAGATCACTTTTTGTCTTGGCTCTGAATCCCTCTCTCAGATCTACAGCTAGATGACAGATTAGTACATACAACTTCTAAGCTCTTTTCCCAAGTGTAGATATCATCAACTATGACTCCAGTAGAATTAAGCCTACTTTTCCTGCTATGACTGATTTTATATAAATACAAAATAAAGTACATCAAAATATGTGACACACAGCACAAGTGTATATTTATACTAATTAAAATACAAATGTCAAATTAAAACACTGTCAAGGTAGAAGTCTGTGCTACTGAAAAACTGGTGAGAAATACACATCTTCATTTTAAAATCTGGACCTCAGTTATATGTGCTTTAATACTAAGCAGTAAATGAATACCCAAAAAACAGGTTTACTTCACTAAGACTTACCGGTGTATAACTATGCACACTTCCAACACTGTTCAAATTAACAGATGCCAAACTCTGGTCTGAGAGACTGTTGTTAAGGCTACTGCGTGGGCTATCACTACCATCCTGATCAGTATTGTACAATGTTACCTAGAAGGAAAAGGAAGTAATGAAATACGTAGTTCCTATAATAACAAGTACTTTTAAAACAACTATATGACTACTCAGCCATAAAGGACAAACTTTTATGGGTAAATGGATGCAACTTGAGACCATACTCCTAAGTGAAATAAATCAGACTCATGTGCAAACACTGTTATTGTCTCCCTGGTGTGAGAAGCTGAAAGAGTAAATAACAAAAGTCTGGAATGTACAACAGATTTTGTGAAATGGGAAGTAGTTGTTTAAAAGAAAAAAGGAACTAGGAGGGGACAAACGGGAAAGGAAGGAAGGAAGGGAAAAGGGAGAAAAGTGCAGGGTAGCTAGGCTATTAGTATCTCAACTGAAAAGGTAGGTTTGTGAAAATACTGATTGGAGAATTTTTTATGCCCGTATCTTGTACTCTGAGTAACTAGTCAAAAGACGACAATATGCACTAATTATTGTTATTCTCCTATTATTTTGTTATCAAATTTTGTTTTACCTTTTCTCAATAAAATTAAAAAAACAACTATATGAAAACAGAACTGAACATATAGCAGGAAGACAAAACATCAATGGCCTCTGCTTAAAAATGCAGAGAGTAATGCTGAATTTAAGGGTTTACATGTAAATTCTCTGGTCACCGAACATATCCAGGTGAACAAAGCACCCCAGATGTGCCACCGTACTTACAGAGCTCATGGCCAGATTAACCCATACATGAGCTTCCCCTGCCACACTAAGATGATCCTTACTGAAAAGGAACAAACTGTTCCTAAACCAGAGGAGGAAGTTGCACAGAAGAAAAAGATATCCCAGAGAGAAACTGAAGAAACAAAAATTTATGGCTTCGGAATAAGTTAGGCATAAAACAAATGCAAATAAAAATAAGGTTACTTGCCAAAACAAACCAAAACCAAACCAAACCCAAAACCAAACCAAACCAAAACAAAACAGAACAAAAAATCAGTGGTCTTTCCTTTGGCATTTTCCCCAAAATTCCATGTCCTCAAAGCCTACTCCCTGTTCAACATGAAATAATTTTCTCAATGCTCTCAAAACTAAAGGACATACCTGTATAGAAATACATAAATTCAATTTATCAGGTACAGTTAATAGAGACTAGTTTTTACTGTTAAATATTTCTACAATGCATATTTATTTTTAAGCTTTAAGCAAAACTATTAAAACCTTAGGCATCACAAAAGTACATAAAACAAAAAAAATAGATTATTTTTTACAGTGGTCTAGTTTGTCTAATTTATAAACATTTAAAAAAATTTTGGGGGGGGGTATCGGGAATAGAACTCAGGACCTAGCACTTGCCAGGCAGGCGTTTGTGCCACTAAGCTATAGCCCCAGTCCTAACATTATAAATTTTAATTAGAAACCAAATGGTATTTTTAAAACAGAAAACTAACCTTAATTATCTTTCATGGTTCTGTTCAGATACTGTTACTAAATTCTCAACATTCACACTTTCATGAGAACAATTAACCACTTAACAGGTTACCCTGAGCATCACTTGGCCAGCGCTTGTTTACGTACAGTCCCAAGCATCAAGCACTGCTCAGGCAGGTGTCCTTTCAACCAGTCAACTCTTGTATTGAATAAATTTGATAAAATTATCATTTTTGTATTTTATATTTCTAAATGCAAGTTTTGGTCAACCTGGATTTAAATAACTGGACCAGTAGGTGGTTTATACATTTGACTTTATAGTCTAACTAATGTGGAGCAAATTTTTAACCACCACTAGACTGTTAACCTCGAGCTCCCAATAAAAAAAAAATCACAAACAACATAGTGTTTTCTGTACAGTATATAGTTAATACATACTTGATAAATTTAGTATCCAACTGGCCATCATTCTGTCTGTTTTGAAAACAAGACAGTGACCAGTGCTCACTAACATTTGCCAAGTGAGGCTGAATACACAGAAAATTAGGCATATATGTCTCAAACTACACTCATTAGCTAGAAATAATTGTGTAGGAAATACTTAAAGGAATAAAATGTTAGAAAAAACAAAGAAGGAAAAAAACTCTGGCAAAGATTTTTCTGCTGAAAATTTCCAGAGTACATTTCATGATGATCAATGGTATAGGTCAGAGATGGCAAACCTTTTAGAGATTTCAGTGGTAACAAAGAGCCCGCTGCAGAACACATGCTTTAGGGTTCACCACCAACGGTATAGGCTCCTAGGAATAATTTTAAAAACTATAAAACAGTATCAACAAATGATAAGCATCCCAAGGTCACTTTCTTGGCCATTCATTCTCTCTTGTCCATGCTCAATTACCTATCACTAAAGCTGGAAATACTCTCCATCACTTTAGACAATTCCTCTTAATTTTTTTTTTGTTGTTCTTGGTGGTGGTTTTTTTCCCGTACGGGGAATCGAACTCATGACCTCGCGCTTGCCAGGCAGGCGCTGTTCCGCTGAGCTAAATCCCCAGCCCCTTAATTTTCTTCACTTAGAGGGAAGATGAACATTTTCATTGACGTAAAATGCACAAATTATTTCATTTATTGCAAAATAGGCATACCTATGTAATTACTATCCAGATTAAAGTACAGAGGAACAATTCTTAAAATTTGATCTCAGGCCCCTTTTCAGTTTTCAGAATTAAAGAGTCCTAGAGCTTTTGTTCATGTTGATACATCTATCAATAAATGGCATGTAAGAAATTAAAACTCAAAAAAGCTATTAGTTCTTTTAAAAATAATGATTATAAGTTAATATAAAATTATTTTCTCCATAAAATAAAAAAAATGGGTAGAGTGGTATCATTTTCCAGTTCAGTAAGCCTCAGTGTTTGGCTTAATAGAGAACAGGTTCTCAGAGCTGCTTCCACATTCAATCTGTTGCATGTGGTAAGTGTGGCAGCAAGAAAAGTTGGTAAAGGGAGAACTGTTTCAACAAACATTTCAGGTAACTGTGGATAGTCTTCTTTGGTAGTGGATCAAAATACAACAAATGGCAATTTTTAAAAAATAAACTGCAATGTGGAATGTGAACCATGGCAATAAATTTTCATACTCTGCTCCATTAAAATCCACTGTTTTACCTTGTACTTTGAATGGATCATTTATCCATGCATAATTTTATAACATCATGCATTGGTCACCTAGAAAATAATGATTTACTAAGTTACTCAGAATCTTTACTAAGCTGATGTTCTAAATGTATGAGTTCATCATACAACATCAAAAAATTTACACTTGTTAACATTACCCCAATCTCTTTAGAGACATCTTTCTAAAGACTGGAAAGCTATCAGACTCACTGTAGTGGATATGTTTCTCAAAATTGCATCTTTTTGCTCAATAGCTCCAATTTTACCACAGGAAAAAATGTCACTGGTTTTCCCTGAAGTGACAGGCTCACTTGGTTCATGTTCAAGAAAATATTTGCCAATCCCCAAATTAAATAATCACCGTCAGCTGTTCTTTCACATAAGAACAGTGGCCCATACATAATCACAGTAGCTAGTTCAGCTTCCAACTCAATCTTGCAAATGCTTTTCCTTGAAGTAACAACTGCAATTCTGTATGCATCTCCCCCATACCCTCCCACAAAATACTAAAAAGATGTGTGCTCAAAGGTCACAATTACCAAAACTATTTTTCCTGCCTTACCAAAGATAAACTATTTTTTAAATTAGGGTACACCTGGCAGTGAAGAACACAATGATGGTGAGTACAGTTAGATGGTGCTGCCTTTATTGGTGCAAAGATGCTCGTAGACTTACATGCCACTGTTCTTGCCACAGCTGTGAAAATGCAAATATAAAGCAAAGACAAATAAATATGTTACTATGAAAAGCTGTGACTCAGATTCTCTACAACAGTCTCAACTACCCAGGTGTCCACAGACTGGCCGCGCTCTGCGCACTGCTGACATCTACATCGCTCGTAAAGTCCTGCTCGTACACTTCCCAGCCAGCGCTCACATGGCTGCTGTCCGGTCCCCTCTCCTGTCCCACACGATGACGATGACTGCACTGATTTCTATCACTGCTGCTTGGTTTTTCTACTTCTGAGCTAATTATAAATACAATCACACAATATATGGTTTCCTTGTTTGCTAAATTAATATTTGCTCTTAATATTATTTCCTTCTTTCCATTTTTAGAAAATTTTGTTCTTTTGTCTCTCTAAACTTTACCGTTTTATCATTTATCTTTAGGTCTCAGATCCACCACTCACTGAAAGAACTTAATTATATTCTATGAGTCTATCCTTACTCTAATCCTGTACCGTACTTTCAGCCATAGTCTTACTTTTAATATTTGGAAGCATAAATCCTCTAATTTTCATCTTTTCCTTCAATTATTGTTGGACATATGGATTCCCATTCATATTTTAGGATGAGTTTGTCGTTTTCTAGACCCTTCTCTTCCCCCAACAAACATTTTAGGGTTTTATCGTATTGAATCTGTAAATCAATTTGGGAACTACTGACTTTACACTAGTCTTCTACATGAAAATGATATCTCTATGTACAGTTTTTTGTTTTCTCTTAGTAATTTTTCATAGTTTTCAGTATAGAGTTTATCTTTCATTTAGTATTAGTATTTTTTTGGATTATTTTTATTTATTTATTCTGATAACATCTTGCTAAATATCACCCAGGTAAGGCTCCAATTTGAGACCCTCCTGCCTCAGGCTCGTAAACTGCTGGGATTACAGACAAGCTACCATGTCTGGCTGAGTGTTTGATATTTTTAAATGCTAATACAAAAGTTACCTTTTAAACTTTTTCTGCCTGTGGCTAATGAAACCAAAAATACAACTAACATTGATCTTGTACCAAGATCTTGTTAAAGAGGTTTTATATAAAGAAGCTTTAAAAGGACTCTAAAGCTTCACCTGTAGAATCCTTTAAGTTTTCTGTATAAACAACCAGATCATCAGTGAATAATGACTCTAGGATTTGGGCTTCTTATATCACCCATGTACCTATACAACTTGTTCAATGTGCCTCTTAGCTTTTCCACAAAACAGTTTCTATACTAATCTTATCATCCACGTCATTTCTGGGTCAATTTTGACTGCTTATTTTCTCCACATTATGAGATGCTTTTTATTATGCCTGGTAAATTTTAATTAGGTACCAGACAGTGTGATTTCTACCTTGTTTATGCCATATTTCATATTCCTATAAATGTTCCAATGTTTCTCATTTGTTGATTATTGCTATTTTATGTATTTTCTACTTCACTTATTTTTATTAGCTTCTTCCTTCTTTTCTTATAATTATTTTGCTCTTCTGTTTCTAGATGCTTTTTACTATTTAACCTGTGTTTAGTCTAGCTGCATATATAATTAAGGCTATCATTTTAACTAGATCCACAGGCCTTGCTATGTCAAATCAAAGTATGTTCTATTTTCTACTGTATTTAGTAAGTCTTACGACTGTTTAAAACTATAATCCTTAACCTGTAAATTTTGGAGGAATTTTCTGATATCTTTTTGTTATTACTGCTACCTTAATTCCATTGTAATGGGAAATAAACTGTACAATGTCAGTCTTCTGAAAACTGTTGCGACTTCCTTTAGGATCAAACATAGATCGATATATGGTTAATATTGTAACTGTTCAATGTATACTTTTTAAAATGTATACTCTGGAGCTAGGTATAGTGGTGCACACCTATAATCCCAGCACTCAGGAGGCTGAGGCAGAAGGAACACCATGTGTTTTAGGCCAGCCTAGGCTACATAGTGAGTTCAATGCCAGCCTCAACTACACAGCAAGATCCTGTCTCCAAAAAAAAAAAAAGCGTTCTCTGGGACTAGGAGTGCCTGCCTAGCATGTCCAAGACCGTGGGTTCAATCTCCAATATGTCAATAAAAAATTGTATTCTGCAACTTTGGATGTAATACTCTATATATGTCAATCGGGTCAAATGTCCCTTTTGTGGTTCTAATCTTCTTTGCCTTTAATGGAAGTTTTCGTTTGTCATCTTAAATTTGATCTGCTTGTTCCATGAATTTACAGAGAGTAATGTTCAATTCTACCCCTGTGATACAGGACTTGTCCACTCTCTTTTCAACCATGTCATCTTTTCAGACTATGTAATTAGATGTACAAATTTAGCATTATACTTTTGTTATCTGCTTTTCTTAATAAAATATCTCTATTTTTAGTAATTGTTTTCTTTTTTATTTAAAATCTCTTACATGAAACACATGGCTTTTTCAACCTGATAATCTGTATTTTAAAATTGAGTATTTTATGTGTTTACACTTAAGTCCTAATGTCATTAGATTTAAACACTATTTGCTTTCTTTTAGTCCTATCTCCTCTTTGTTCTTTTCCTTCTCCCTTCTTGCTTACTTTTGTATTAGCCAAACATTTATTATTTTTCCTTACCACTTGTATATTTTTTTACTATTTTTTAGTAACCAAGAACAATGGTTCATGAGGTGTGGAGCTTCCATCAATAATTTATGAAAAATTTTAGAAGCTCTGGATGATATTACCTTCTTCCAAACAGCATTTAGTTTTCTTCTTGCTAGAAGAATATTTGTCTATTACTCTTTTGGTTTTTTTTTTCCGATACCAGGAATCGAACTCACGACCTTGCGCTTGCCAGGCAGGTGCTGTGCCGCTGAGCTAAATCCCCAGCCCCTTGTCTATTACTCTTAAAACAGTTTATGCTCATCAATTTTGGTCTGCTCAAACAGAACAGTCTTTTTTAGGTAACAACTTTAAAACCTAGAGTACTTGCCATTACTCTTTCTTGAAGACGTGAACTACAATTTTATCTTACTTGTTTTGTAAGACTGCTCAATTCTGGCTAGTGGAAAATCTACTTTGTCTGTGATTGAGGCCAAGCACACAAAACTAGGAGTTAGCAAAAGTCTAAAGTAGACAGTTTACAAAAAGCTGAGGTCCTTCCTGAGATTCCTCAGGGCCTTGACTCCTCAAGACCCAGCTGTTTTATAACCCCAAACTCCAGTGTTCATCTAACTCAAAGACTGCTCTAGGCTGTCCTGTCTAATCTCTATGCCATACACTAAAGACTGGTAAATGTCCCCAAGGAAAATTTGCAGGTTTACCTCTATTTGTTTGCCTTTTCTCAGAAGTCTTGTCTTAATCTCCACTGTCTCCCTCCTTTTTTTTTTTAGGGAGGAGGACTTTACAGAGACACAAGATTTGTCTGATGCTAGCTATCCAATTACATGTGAAAGAAGCTAGAAAACTTTAGCTCCTTTAACACTGTTATTTGGTCAGAAAATCCTAACATTACTTACACTGCAAAGAGCAGTCCTGGAGGACTTCACCAGAAATTGTTCCATATAGCTGGTCATCTTTAGAGATGATTTCTGGGAGTACAGATTTCTGGCCCCTATTCATAAGGGTAGAGAAACTAATTTGGCAGGACTGCATTGGAATCATAGGATTACCATCACCCACCAACAAACAAAGATAAACAGCCCCCTCTCCCTAGGTGACTGTGATGTGATGATCCCACAGACGGCCTTGTGGGAAAAACAGCATTACTCTATACATGTCAGCTGCCAGTTTCCTTTCTAAATTGGGTATCTGACTGTCCAACTAAGCAAAAAGATCCTTTGAGTACTTCATTAATCCAATAATATATTTAAGTGTGTGTTTCTAATGTGTGCATAAGAAGAATAAAAGATAAAAACAATGAAATAGCAGCAGTGAGAGCCAGAGAGGAGAGGTGAGGAAGAGAGGATAAAAGCTAAAGGGAGAAGATGCAAACAAGACTGAAACAGAGTATGAGTAGGAGGATGAGAGGGCTTGAGGGTGTTTAGGATAGAGCACAGGAGGAAACAGATACACAAAACTGAATTTATGAAACTCTCAGACCTTTTTAGAGTTCTGAGATGTGAGATTAAGAAATTACTTTGTGACGAAGAAACATCTGTATCTCTCTAGGTATCTAATCGCTGAGCATAGTTTTGACTCATTACAAAACATGCTGAACTACAAAATACTGCTTCTGGATATGTGCTTAGACTTAAATATCATAAAAACAGGTTGACTACTGACTACTCCAATGAACTCTATTAGGTTGCCCAAATTATTTGTTTTACTTTTTTTTTTTTTGTCTTTTTGAGACAGGGTCTCGCTATGCAGTTCAGGCTGACCTCGAGCTCACTTTGTAGCCCAGGCTGCTCTCGAACTCGCAATGATCCTCCCGCCTCAGCCTCCCGAGTGCTGGGATTACAGGTGTGCGCCACCACATCCAACAGTTTTACTAAATTATTCTGGCTCCCTGAAATTCGACAATATTTTTCAACATATATGTGAAGGAGTAATCAACATTTTAAAACAAATTGATTCAGTACAACACTAGCTCAGAAATTCTATCAATGGGAACAGAGTTAAGATTTTAAATTAATAGTCTCCCAGTAAGCACCTTCTAATTTCTCCTGAGAAACATTTTCTTCTAATTTGTACATACCTCAAAAACATTATAGATTTGACTTAAACTGCCATGAATAGAGTAAGCAAATTTGTATCATCTTGAAGCTTGACCATATAAAAAAGCAAATTAAATATATTACTCAAGGACATTTCAAAAATGTTCAAAAAATGGAATTACTTTGTTAGTCACAGTGTTGATTGCCAGAGTTGGAGAGGCACTTCCCGAAATAATACACTCCATTCCCAAAGAATCTGAATCTATGCTATATGGAGTTGAGGCCTAAAATACAAGAACAAAATAAGTAATTATTAGCTCATATATCCAGCAATTTTAACACAGTTTCAAGGGATTTCATCAAATTCTCTAACATCCAGTTTTGTGCATTTTTTCTGAAAATACATAGCTACTGAAATATCATCTTTATCTTATTATGCTATTAATCTGTTATACAAAAGTTGACTGGTACAGCTATTCCCTAACAACTCTTTTAACGTGCTACAGGATAGGCTGGCAAAAATTATCAACAAACTTCTGTAGGGGAGACAGCTAGTAATCCTCTACTATCCATTCTTTCCTTCTCCCTTTTAGTAGCATAACCCTGTATAGTTCTCTATAGCTACAGACTAGCTTTTCCAAATTCATTTGCTGTGGCCATGTGAATAAAGCTGGCTAATGAGAAGTAAGCAGGGACAATGGGTGTAACATCTCTCCCCCACCCCCTAGTACTGGAGACTGAACTAGGGACCTACCCATTAAACTACATCTCCAGCCATACCCCTTTAAAAATTATCTGAGACAGGGTCTTTCTCTCAATTATCTAGAGTGGGCTGGAACTTGGGATCTTCCTGCCTCAGTCTCCCAGGGTGCTGGAATTATAGGTATGTACCACCACGCTGAACTATGTTTGTAAGTTTTGCAACATGTCTCTGAAAAAACCTGCCCTGAAATCTCTTCCCCTCCTATTGTGGGCTGGCACAGTGATACAGTGGTCATTGTGTTTAACCATAAAACTCCGGGAAATGCTGGGCAAACAAGACTGTTAAGAATTGGAATGACCTTGAACAGAGTTTATCTCTGACCCCATCTATCAGCTCAGTCTTTTACCCGAGAAGAAAAGAAATTCCTCTGGTGTAAGCCCCTCAGTTACCATTTTTTATTATTCTTTTGTGTTTAAGAGAATGTTATGAGCAATATTCCAAATATCTACATACAAGCTCATATGTGTTGTTCATAGAGCTAATATAGGTGTCCAAAAAATGCCAAAGGTTTGGGGAGGGGAAGAGGTTATAAAAATTAAGAGGTATTATGTACATGTACTCCTCACAAAGAAAGTGATTATTAGGCAATACAAACATGTACTAATGAAAAAAATATTGAAGGTTTTCTGCATTTAGCATTTGAACATCCTTTCTCCCTTGCTTCCTTCCATGTGCCCCCAGGAGGTGGCCTCACAGTGATGAAGTCAGGGAAGGTAAAGATGAGCACCAAGTGGCCATGGATGCCAGTCCCATACCCACTCCTCTCTGGAAAAAAACACTGGTACCACACTTGACACCAACTGAACACACACTTTTAAAAGGTAGTACACGGGGCTGAGGTGTAGCTCAGTGGTAGAACACTTGCCTAGAATACATAACGCCCTGGGTTTCATCTCTGGCACGGTGAAATAAAAACAAAAGCAAACAGAAGAGCAAAACACCAAAAGAAAACAGAAGAACCAAAGAACAATTTCATTGAGACACATTTCAGAGGTCAATCTCATCACTAAATTCCTCAGCATGAATTTCTTTCATCAGGTAATCTAAACAACCTGAGGGGAGGGAGCAGGAAACATGACTGAAATGAAGGAAGAGCACAGAGCCGAACCTAAGAGTGCTGGGCACTCGGAATGAGGTGAAAATGGAAAAGGGGTTCAGAAAAAGGAGTTGGAAGAACCATAAAAATAATTCTATGGTTTGATTTTAGTGCCAGCCAACTTAGTTACGTGTGAGCTAACATAGAGGATTACTTTAGAAAACTACAAATATTATGTTCCTCTAACTCGACTCAGTCATCTCAGCCCAGACTTCTGGCTCATTAATTCTTGCTCTTTACTGTTATGAAAAAGGAAGCCTGTGCTATGATTTCATGCAAATTACTCAAAATTTTTTATTGTTTCTCATCTATAAAAGGAAGACTGTGCCACTTCCTCTACAGGTTTAAGACCATTAATCAAGTAATTCATGTAAAACACTTAGCACTGTACCTGAAATACACAATAAATACTAGATATTGTGATAAATACTAGAATGTATCTGCTACTGATGCCAAAATATGCAAGGAACCCTCAATACTAATCAATAAGGAAGGAGACAGTGTTAATATGAGGCACTGTATTTCCTTACAGTCAGATTTATGACTCAGCTATTAGTCATTATAGTAAATTTTAAAAATCTTTTAATTAATATTTCTTCATGGATACATTCATTTTTAATAAAGTCACCCTCTTTACTAGTGTAGATGTCTTCCATAGTACCATATGTATCTTTATTTGTAGGTGCATTGATTCTATATTAATAGGCAAGTACTTTGATTAGTACAGTTGGTGGGTCTAGGCAAAATGATAATTGGTTTTTTTGTTTGTTTGTTTCTTTTTTGTCTTTTTGAGACAGGGTCTCACTATGCAGTTCAGGCTGGCCTTGAGCTCACTTTGTAGCCCAGGCTGGCCTCTATCACTGAGAAGTGATCCTCCTGCCCCAGCCTTCTGAGTGCTGGGATTACAGGTAGGTACCACCATAGTACCAGCAAAATGATTAACTGTTATTGCTATAACCATAAATCCAAGTTGTGGACAAAGGCAGTATCAGTGAATCTAATTTGGATAGTACCAGTCAGCCTGGAGTCCTTATTCAAGTTCCACTTGGGAGTAAGGCAGTGTGAAGTTTAACGAATAATAGCTGAGTCATAAACCTGACTGTCTGGAAACCAATCTTATGCTACTAACAACTACAAACTATGGTAGCAGTGGTGGTGGCTCAGCTACCTTAGGTTTCTGAAGAGTAAGTAAAATAGATGTATTGTGGCAAGAAGTCAAAACTTGGAGAAATCAGCAACTAGATGAATTTCCTATTTTGCTGCAGCTTTGCCCCAAGCTTGGGCAGTAGCTGTGAGGTATAAGGATCTAGAGCTATCTCTCTGTCAAGGGGAACAAAGGAAAGAGCTCAGGTAAAAATAGCTAGAACAGAAGGAAAAGAGAATTCCATATAGGGGGAAAGTCAAGAGATTCCACAGTCCTGTGTATGAAACACCACCAAAGTTCTAGGCTGACCCTAAAATATGCACGTACAGATTAGTATCAAAGCAGAGGCAAAAGAAATGTAGTTCAAATTGGAGCAACTGCCCACAGAAGATGAGAGAATGAGTTTACAGTTTGAGTCTAACACAGTCAAATTCCAACTAAAATAAAAATATTAATAATCTACAGAAGATTTTAACAGAATCCAGAGTACATAAAACATAACATCTACAATGTCCAGATGCAGTTCACATTACCTAACATACATGTAACAGGAAAATGGAGCCCATTTTTAAGAGATAAAGTAATCTACAGATGCCCACGCCAAAAAGATGTTAGAACTATGAGACAGAGAATTTTGGGGGTTTTTTTGTGGTTTTTTTTTGTGACATGGTCTCACTATGCAGTTTAGGCTAACCTTAAACTCACAGTGATCCTCCTGCCTCAGCCTCCCCAGTGCTTCAGGATTACAGGTGTGTGCCACCACACCTGGCTGAGACAAAGATCTTAAAGGAGCTATTACAATTATGCTCAGTGAAATAAACAGTTGAAAGAAAATATAATGAAAGAAATCTTAGTGAAGAGATAAAGTCAAAAATTTAAACTGAAAACTACAATTTCTGAAAGGAAAAAAAAAATCAGTGGATGGGCTTTATTTTAAAATTAGAATAAAAAGAGAAGAAAGACTCAGTAAATTCGCTGGGCATGGTGGCACATGCCTGTAACCCTAGCACTTGGGAGGCTGAGGCAGGAGGATCATTGTGAGTTCAAGACCAGCCTGGGCTACAAAGTGAGCTCAAGACCAGCCTGAACTGCATAGTGAGATCCTGTCTCAAAAAGACAAAAAGACTTAGTAAACTCAAAGATCACTAATAGCAGTTACTTAATCTGACAGGGGGGAAAAAAAAAGATGAACAAAAAAGACAGGGGAAGAGAAAAAGAAGTCTCAGAAAGCTGTGGACAATCCCAAAAGGTCTGATGAGTATCTGCGATTTCCAGAAGAGATAAGGATAGAAAAATACATGGACAAAATAATGACTAATAATTTTAGAAATTTAATGGAAGACATTTGTAAACTGAAAAGTTCAGTGACCCACAATAAGAATAAAATCAAAGACAAATCACACTGAGATGCCTCATGATTGACTTGAAAGTAAAAATGAAAGCCAGACAGAGAGAAACAATGTGTCACATAGAGAGAAACATCAACTGTGCAATGACCACGGATTTCTCATCACACATGGTGGAAGTCATGCACAGTCATGGTGGAAGGTAAGTGCACAGCTTAAAAAGTGCTAAAAGCAAAAACAAAAAGTCAACCCAATTGTATCGGTAATGAAAACTCAAGAAAGAAAAAGATCAACTAAAAAAAAGGAAAGAAAAACGTCAAAATAAAGACATTTTCAGAGAAATGAAAACAAAGTGAAACATCTATCCATCCATCCATCCATCCACCCACCCATCCACCTATCCATCTAGTCTTCTGAGACAAGTCTCACTACGTAGTCCAGACTTAGCTCACTAGGTAGTGTCCAGGCCAACCTTGAACTGGCTTGAAAATCCTTCTGTTTCAGCCTCCCAAGTGCTACTGTTACACCGGTGGAACACCACACCCAAACAAAGTGAATGTATTGGCAAGAAGAACTGCACTATAACAAAGTTGTTCAGGCCAAAAGTAAATACAGCAGAGGCAAAACCTGAACCTTATGGAATACATTAAAGCACCAGAAAGACAGGAGATATTCAAGTAAATATCAAAAATTGTTTTCTTAAATTTAAAAAATTACATATTATTAAAGACAAAAAATAATACTATCTTGCAACTTTTATAATGTATGCAGATGTACTTCATATTGCGAGTATGAGGAATAGTGAGGGAAAATGCAAAGAGGACCTAAATAACTAAAAGATTTTTACACATATGAAGTGGCAGAATATTAAGTGAGTGTATGGCAGAATGTTAGGGATGCACTATACATTAAAATCCTTATGCCGGGCATGGTAG